TCTGCCATATCACATAATTATTATTTTTTTTAAAAAAAAATTTTATTTACTGATTTTAGAGAGAGGAAAGGAGGGGGCAGAGAGAGAGAGAAAACAATTTGTTGTTCTACTTATTTATGCATTCATTGGTTGATGTTGTATATCCCCTGAACAGAGATCGAACCTGCAGTCTTGGTTTATTAGGACAGTGCTCTAACCAACTGAGCTACCTGGCCAGAGCTATTATTTCTTTTCTGTGGTGAGAACATTTAAGATCTAGCCTTAGCAACTTTGAAGTATATTATACATCATTGATGACTGAAGGACTTTTTTAAGATATGTAATAGCAGGTCCACCAGCAATGAATTCTCAGCCTTTGGGAATCTCTATATTCATCTTCATTTTCTAAAGATAGTTTTGTTGGATATGAAATTCTTAGTTTGCAGTTTTTGTCTGTTAGTACTTTGAATATGTTATTCTGTTGATTTTTGGTCCCCATGGTTTCTGATGAGAAGTTAGCAGTTAACATTGTTGTTCCCTTGTACTTGATGAATCTGTTTCTTTTGATGCTTTTAAGATTTTCTCTGTCTTTCAAGAGTTTAATTCATTGAGCAAGTTTGATCTGTAGATTTATGTTTTGCATAAAATTTGGTAAATTTTCTGGCATTAATTATTTTTTTCTTTGTTTTCACATACTAATGTTTACTCTTTAAAAGTTTTAAGTGGAATTGGAGTAACATTGGTTATAACATTATATAAATTTCAGGTGTACAACTTTATAATACAACATATATATATATGCCATTGTGTGCTCACGATTTGAAGTCTAGTCTCTCTCCATCACCATGTATTTGATCCCCTTTACCCTCTTAGTTTTTCCCCAAACTCCCTCCCCTCTGGTAACCACCAGTCTGTTGTTTTGTATCTATGAGTTTGCTGTTTTGTTTGTTTGCATGTTTGTTTTGTTTGTTCATTTGTTGCTTTTTGTTTTATATTCCACATATGAGTGAAATCAAACCATTCTTGTCCTGTTCTGTCTGGCTTATTTCACTTAGCATAATATTCTCAAGATCCAGCCATGTTGTTGCAAATGGCAGTATTTCATCTTTTTTTCTTTTATTGATTCTGGAGAGAGGGGAATGGAGGGAGAACAGAGGGAGAAAAACATTGATGTGAGAGAGAAACATCTATTGCATGTGCCCCAACTGGGGACCAAACCTGCCAGTGAAATGATGCCCAACCGACTGAGCCACACAGGCCAGGGCAGTATTTCATCGCTTTTTTAAAAAAAATTTTTTTTGTTTATTTATTTTTAGAGGGGAAGGGAGGAAGAAAGGGAGGGATACATCAATGTGTAATTGCCTCTTGAGCACTCCCTGCTGGGGACCTGGCCTGCAACCCAGGCATGTGCCTTAACTGGGAATTGAACCGGTGTAGGGGGCCGCTTTGAGTGGTATCGGGGACTGTAGTCCTGTGCAATCTGGGGCCTGGGAGAGGAACTGTAAGACTTGGCTGGAACATTGGTAATGGGGTCAATAGGCAGGACCTGCTAATAACTCCGAGGGCCCCGGCAGTAAATCAGGCCTAGGAGTAAATCAGACTCCTTGAAGCATGCTTTGTTTCTCCCTCAAGCTCTGTAGACCTTACGCCAGATAACCAGCTCGAGGCTGGGAAGGAAATTTACAAAATTCCTAGACCCTGATCCAAATCCCACCTGGCACCATAATGTTTGTTTATCTGGGACCCAGGCAGTTTGGTGTATTCCTGCTGTTGTCTTCTTTAAACATCACCTGTTCTCTGTAAGCCTAAGTTACTGATGTAATTAGATTACATATACATTCCTGCTACCTATCCGCCGCTCATAACCCTCTCAATAAAAGCCATTGAGCAGAGGGGTCGGGACATTCTCATTGAGAGAATCGCCTTCCCCTTTCCCTGACAGGCAAATGGTATCTGGAACGACTCTTTCTTCCATCTGCGGCAAATTAGGGGGCTTCGCGGGCTGGAGTCCCCCATAAACTGGTGATCCTTTGTTTCTCAGGCTGGCACTCAATCCACTGAACCACATCAGCCATAATGTGTATTTCATCTGTTTAATGACTAATATTCCATTGTATGTACATACTATGTCTTTTTCAGTTTGCTGTGAAGAATACTTAGGTTGTTTCCACATCTTTGCTATTATGAATAATGTTGGAGTGAATATGGTATATATATATATCTTTACAAATAGTAGATATTTCAGATTTTCAGGTAGATACCTGGAACAGGGATTGCTAGGGCATATGGAAGCTGTATTCTTAATTTTTTTGAGGAACCTCCATACCTTTTCCATAGTGGCCACACCAATTTACATTCTCTCCAGCTGTGTGTGATGGTTCCCTTTTCTCCACATCCTCTCCAACAGTTGTCATTTCTTGTTTTATTGATACTAGCCATTCTAATAGGTATCTCATTGTGGTTTTGATTTCCCTGGTAACTAATGATGCTGAACATCTTTTCATATATCTGTTGGCCATCTGCATGTCTTTCTTGGAAAAGTATCTATTTAGGTCCTCTGCCCATTTTTAAATTGGATTGTTTTGTTGTTGTTGTTGACTAGTTTGAGTTCTTTATGTGTATCTTTAAGGGGATATTAGCCCCTTATTGGAGGTATCATTTGCAAGTATCTTCTGTTATTCATTTGGTTGCCTTTTAGTTTTGTTGATGGTTTCTTTTGCTCTGCAGAAGTTTTAATTTGATGTAGTCTCATTCATTAATTTTTTCTTTCACTTTCTTTGCCTTTGAGATCGAGTACACACACACACACACACACACACACACACACCCAGCCCTGACACAGACACACACACACACACCCAGCCCTGACACACACACACACACACACACACACACCCAGCCCTGACACACACACACACACACCCCCCCCCCCCCGCCCTGAGTCCAAGGTCCATAAATACAGTGACTGTTTTCTTTTATGTTTTCATTGTACACACACACACCCCCTGCCCCCTCCCCCCAAACCCAGCCCTGAGACCAAGGTCCATAAATACAGTGACTGTTTTCTTTTATGTTTCATTGTTTCAGGTCTTGCAGTCACATCTTTAATCCATTTCTGAGTTAATTTTTGTGTATGTTGTCAGGCAGCAGTCTAGTTTCATTCTTTGCACATGACTTCCCACTTTTCTTAGCACCATTTATTAGACTTTCCTTTCTCCTTTGTATGTTTTTGACTCTACCATGAATTCTGTAAATATTTTTTTCTCCCTCTTTCTTTCTCTCTTGCTCTTCTGGGACTCCCATTACACGAATGTTGATACATTTGTTTTGTTACAGGTCTTTGAGGCACTGTTTACTTTTCTTTAATCTTTTTTTCCTGATCTTCAGAATGAATAATTTCTATTGCTATTTCTTCAAGTTAACTGATTCTTTCTTCTGCCACTTCAAATTTGCTGTTGAGCCTATATAGTGAATTTTTTCTTTTGGTTATTCTACTTTACAACTCTAGAATTTCCAGTTAGGTTTTTAATGTTGTTATTTTTCTAGTCAGCTTTGATATTTGTTCATTGTCATCATATTTTAATTTAATTCTTTAAACACAGAAAATTTTTTCATGAAGAATAGTTTGTTAAAGCCTTTGACAAATTCAACATCTTTGTCTACTTAGGGTCAGTTTCTGCTTTTTCATCATTAGTATAGGTCATGCCTTCTTGTTTATTTATGTGTCTTATTCTTTTTTATTTAACTAGGCTTTTTGGTGATATATGCACTCTGGAATCAGATAGCTTCCACTTACCTGCTTTATGACTATATTAGGCAAGTTACTTAATCTTTAACTTATGTTAGGAGGAATCTTGTGTAAGCTGATTGTTCTTGGCACCAATTAAATGCCAACAGGAATCCCCAATTCGGGGTGTAGTGAAGAAGGATACTTTCTTCAGTTCAAACAGTGCTACAGCACGGCTGTCAGGCCACCCCTGGGCCAGGCCCCTCTGCAGCTAGGTGGCTCTACTCTGTTCCACTGTGTGCTGGTCTGCTCCACTATAGTCTGGCAAAACATCTTGGGTGTTTCCTCTCTAGCCAGGGAAACAGTCTTCAGTGGAAAGTGCGCTCTCTGAGCCAGAGGGATATATGGACGGGATATATGGACGGGAATCCCTGGCCTTGGTCCCTGGTTGGTAAATGAGGACTCTGAATCCTTGCAGTTTGATTGGCCCAAAAGGTACTATCCTGATTCGTCAGAATAGAGCTGCTTCAACTGGTCAGAACTGTGCAGGTCTGATTGGATAGGGAAAATCTCAGTCCTATTGGTTGGAATAGGATTCTAGGAACCTTTGTAACGGCTGGCTCAGATGGCAAGAAACCCAGTGTAAGGGCAGTTCAGCACAGGCCTCTCCCTGAAGTGCAGTTGGTGTGAGAAGCCCCTGTGCAGAAATGGCTGCTAGGCTCTGCTTTTTTAAATTTGATCCCAGTTGGCCACCAGCAGCCCTTCTTAGTAGGCTCCCTCCCCCACTCCCCCACTCCCCGACCCCAGCTTCCACTTGATTTTCTCATCTGCCAAATACTACTCCTCCTGGTAACAATAAGTACATTAAATCAGACACTATTTACTCTAAAGGCTTTAGTTGTACTCATTTAGTCCTCACACTAACCCAATGAGAAAGATACTTATTATCTCCACTTTACAGAGATGGAAACAGATACAGAAGGTTAAGTAATCTATCTTGGGTCACACAGCTGGTAAGGGATAGAGCCAGGATTCAAAATAAGGCAGTTATCAACTTAATATGCTAGACTATGTTTGGGTGAGTTGGGATGATCATAATACCTAGTTATAGGGTGATTGTAAAAATTAAATGGTATATAATACATATCAAACACTTAGCACATTGTAAATGTTGAATAAATGTGCTATATATTAATAGTATTTGTTCTTAGATTGGGTAAATAGCCTGCCATAAATTGCTGAAAACAACTCGATATCACAAATCGATTAATGCCTTATGGGAACTCTTTTTCAGATTTCATCAGCTGCTTGTGGCTATGGGTTCACATTGCTGTCCTCTAAAACCAAGGATGTTACGAAAGTTTGGGGTATGGGACTCAACAAAGATTCTCAGCTTGGATTTCACAGGAGCCGGAAAGATAAAAGTGAGCATTGTCATGTTGGCTCTTCTCTGCTGTGATTGATCTGAGAGCTCCCTTTGGCTTTTCATGAGTATAATTAAATAAACCAAAGCATAACAACAAAATAGAGTGTTAAAGGGATGTTGTTTGAAACCATTTTGATTAGATTGTTTTTCAGCCTCTTTGGTAATATTATTGAACTTTTAGGCAAAAGGCATTTGCTGATAAGTAAAGATGTTCATTCTTGGCTCCAAAGAGATGGCCTTTCTTTCTCAGCTGGGAGATAGCCTGGAATACTCTACAGTACCTAGGATATGGTCTGGGGGAAAAACTCAACATAATCCTTAAGATGGAGGCTTTATTCCAGTTGTTTGACAGTTTGATTTTAAAAATGCTAGAAATGATTTATAGCGACATTTTAAAAAGTAGACATTAGCCAAACAACATTTTAAGAACAATAAGAAACATTTTTAAACTAAGGGAGAAATTACCTACACAGACATACTAGGACACACCTTCTTTTTCATCTTTTCCTGGTTTCTCATTTATATACCAGTAAAGTATTTTATTTTGATCATGGCATATGCTTTATTTTCTGCCTTTTTTTCCACTTAATTTTATATTTGAATTATTTTATAAGTTAGTGTTGAAGTTTTAGTAGCTGTAAGATGCCACATCACACCTTTTATACCGTTATTAGGTATAAGTTTGGATATATGCAGCAATGGACAGAATAGTTTAATGCGTCCATGTACTGTCCCCAGCTTCGGCAGCCATGAACTCATGCCAGTCTTGTTTTATTCATTTCCTCTCAATAAATTTGAAGCAAATCCTAACATTAATTGATTTCACTCCTAAATATTTCAGTACGTATCTAAAAAAATGGAGACTCTTTTAAAAAAAGGAAGCACATTATCACACCTAAAAATAATTAACAATATAATAACAGTATAATCTCATAATGTCATCAAATATCTAGTCAGTGTGCAAATTACTAGTTGTCTCACAAATGTCATTAAATTTTTATTTTGTTTTTAAAAATTTATTTGAATCAAGATCCAGATAATGTCTAGACATTGCAATTGGTCGATAAGACTTTTAAAAGTGTCTTGTGTTTTAATCTTTTATCTTTGAAATTTATTTATTAAAGAAACCACATTGTTTATCTTGTAGAATTTTCCAGTCTGGGGTTTGCTGAGTGCATCCCCATTTAACACAATCCTTTATATTCTTGTCAGTTGGTAGTTGGAGCTAGAGCCAGACTCCCTTTAAATGTTATGTATTTACAGCTTCCCAGGTCCTTAGGGGTCTATGAAGATAGTAATGGGGGATATGAGTTACTTCTCAGTGTTCTAAAGTGCTATATATTTTCAGCTAATAAGGCTGTACAAGCTAACAACATTGTGTAGTTTCATTGATTTTGCCTAGAATTATATCATCTTACTGTGATAAGCCAGTTATTCCATCCTGATCAAAAGCTGTGTCTGAATATTGTATTAGTTACTAATGAGACAAATGGGCAAGTATATTATTACAATAGTAACAACGCCATTTATTTGGTAGGCAAAATTTTTTAGACATGGGGTGCAAAGGAGAAAATAAAGGAGTTATTTAGTGGGGTGTAGGTTGAGAACTAGTACATTTGCAGATTTTCTCCTTAACTCCAGCCTACATTATAAATATTCAAAAGCTCATCTTTTAAAACCTACAAGAGAAATTCTTTACATAAACCAGTCTCACTTCTTCAGTGGGATTGTAAAGAACAATAATGTTTTTTGGGTTTTTTTTGAGTGACTTTAAAAAAAACTTTCCCCCTTGTTTATTTAAATATTAAAATTTTATTTTTTATGTAGTTTAGTATCCTAAAGGCATAGTAGAATATATGATGAAAAGTCTGCTTTCCACCTCTTACCTCCCAGCCACATGGTTTTTCTCCCTGAAGACAGCCTGTGTTAACAGTTTCCAGATTATCCTTCTACAGAGATTTAATGTATATGCAAGTAAATGCATCTGTATATATTTTTGTGTGTGTGTCCTTTTAATGTAACAGTATTTGCTGTTGTTCACTTTACTGAGAAGTTTAGTCGGTAGGAAGAAAATGCTTTTACTTTCCTTAAAAATTCAAACAGTATTAAATGACACGCGAAGAGATTTTTAAATAAGATTAATATGCTTTCCAGTAATCCAGTGTGTAATGAAGGCAATGTGATATAGTAGGTTGAGAGCTGGGGATCAGAGTTCTGGTCTTAGCTTTGCTACTAGCTTATGTGCTTTGTGTAAGTCATTCCCATATCTGACTGAATAAAAATGTGGCAGATGAACACTATGATCTCTAACGTTAGGAGTGCTGTGACTCTCAATCAGTGTGATGAACCTGTTGTTTTTGTTTCAGTGAGGGGATACGAGTACGTTTTGGAGCCCTCGCCAGTTCCACTGCCTCTGGACAGACCTCAGGAGACGCGGGTGCTACAGGTCTCCTGCGGCAGAGCCCACTCTCTTGTGCTCACAGACAGCGAAGGAGGTGAATTGCTTTGTTCAAGACTGGTGGACTGTGGGAGAATTGCTTTCTTGCCGTTAGGCCTAAAGTGCTTATTTGATTGAGCCATGTGTATTTAGTGAAGCTGTTGACATTTCCTGAGCAAATCAGTAGGATGCTCAAGAGAGCTGTGTTGGGCAGACCTTGCTAAAACTTTTATGCCTTCTGCTCCCTGTGGTTCTTGGAGAATCTCAGGTATCTATAAATGTGACAGAACATACCAGGGAGCCTTACGTAGGCCTCCCACTCCCTTTGCATAAAGTCATGAAGCTGGGCTCCATGTGCAGATGGTTTTTTCTATTGTTCTGAAAGAAACCTGTTTGCTAACGCTTCTTCCAAGTGGTGGGGGCTTTCAGAGTCCAGGCTGGTGGGTAACCCCACCCTCTCCAGAAGAGCGGTTCCTAGGGACAGACCAGCCTGACTAAATTTTTCAAGTTTTGTTTTCTGTTTAAGTGTGCTTTGTAGGAAAAGGTGAAGGTAGAGTTTAGGAACTTTTTCAAGAGGGATTTTTGTGTCAAGGGCAGCCTAGTGACAGGTTCAGGAAATGTGGCGCCGAGGCCTTTCGCAGGAGGTGCTTCCCTGGTGTAAGGTGGGGTTCCTGAGAGGCGGAACTGGGGCCTGCGGGGGAGGGCAGAAGGGACAGTACGGGTGGCGCACACGGGTGCGGCGGGTCTAGACCCCGAGACACCTGTGGCTCTGCCTGCACATGCGGCGAATGTTGGAGGGGAAATGACATCTAGGGTGAGTGGTCGGGACTGTGGCCACTTTCGCGACCCCCTGCTAGTCCTGACATTCTAGGACTCCATGAACTGAAGTCAGTTGGGGGTGTTGTTTTTTCAGTCTTCAGCATGGGAAACAATTCTTACGGGCAGTGTGGAAGAAAGGTGGTCGAAAATGAAATTTACAGGTAAGTTCCTAAAAGGACTCCCCCTTCCCCCAGTTGTGTTAAGTGTTAAACATTTCTTGAGTGATAGGCCCACAGAGCAAGAAGCGAGGTCCCCTTTGTGTGACAGGAGCAGAGAGAACTCACCAGAAAGCTGTGGCGAGGATCGTTCCCCTGCAGCGTGGTGGGGGGGAGGGTGCATGAGCATTGATTGTGATGTGCAGAAGTTCTTTGAATTAGTTTTGTATTCTTAACCAAATTGGTTAACTTCAGAAAAAATGCCCCTCTGTTTCAGTCATACTCATTTAGTCTTTAAAAAAAATTTCCCTGCCATTCATTGCATTGTACTAGTGGGTCCTAAATACCAGTTTCGACTCTGGCGGCGTATGAAAATCACCGAAGGATTTTGTTTGTTTTCTTTTACTTTTACACTTTGGCCTGATTCCACCTTATATTTTACCTTGAGAGTTTCCCCAACAGTCACTATGTATGTGGGGGCCACACAGTGAGGGTGACAGGGGAGGGGCCAGAACCCCAGCTTACCGTGAACATATTTCTTGTTTCTCCTCAAATTGCTTCTGGTGTAGCGAAAGTCACAAAGTCCACAGAATGCAGGACTTCGACGGACAGGTGGTCCAGGTGAGCCATTCATCCTGCTCCCTTGGGTACTTTTGAAAGGGGTAAAGTTGGGGGAAGTGATGGAAAATTTGGTAGGCAGATTTTCTGAATTAATAAATTATTTTAGTGAAAATTACTGCCTGCCTACTATAGGCCAGCATTTGCAGCAGATCATCAAGGTCCACAGTTTAATAAGGTTTAGGGGATAACACTCTAATGGGAGAGACAGACTAAGAAAACTAGCTGTATCAGAGCGCTGTGGATGTGCCAGGCTGGCTTTATCTTGCTTATTTTATTCCTATCCCTGGGGCGGTGCCTCACACATGGTCAGCACTTAAAATTAATGCCTAAGCAAGTTATGTGAACAGAAATCTCTATGAAAGTACCAGTAGGGGAATTGTTAAGTCTGGCCAGGGTGGAAAGGAAGGGAGAAAAGGTATCATGGGAAGGTGGCAGAGGAATGGATCGGATAGACTAGTGGGAGGAAGAGTTTTCTTCTGGCAGAGGGGAGGGAGCAGCGGGAGGCTTTGACTGCTGAGAACGTGCAGTGCGGCGGGAGTTGTGTATGAATATGGGGGAGTGGTGTGGAGTAGATTGGGAGGCAGGTTCAGAGTGAACAATGCATGGTCTTGAATGCCTTGCTAAGGAATTTAGACTTCCTCCTCTTGGCAGTGGGGGCCTATCAAAGGTTCTAAGCAGGGGGAGTGACAGCCAAATCATGATCTATTTACATTTAGAAAGAGAACTTTGGCCATGGTATGGAGTAGAGTTGGGAGAGGAAGTGATGAAGGCCACTTGCGAAGCCATGGGAGAAGGGACAGGTGCAGAGACCTGTGAGGGGAACTGATTGGATTTGAGCAGGGAATGAGCAAGAGGGAGTTGAGTATGGCTCCATAGGCGAAGGACTTGGCTGCTGATGTCCTCAGCCCAGATGGGTGTGTACTGGAGGAGGAGCAGGCTTGGGTTGGCTGGGAGGGGGAAGCGAGGAGAAGCGAGAGAGTGAAGTTGCAGTAGGATGGAGTGCTTCTTGCACAGGCTTCAGAGTCACACAGATGTGAGTTGAACTCCCTGCTTCTCCACGTACAAACTGGATGACTTTGGGCAAGTTAGCACACTTCTCTGAGACTCTTGTTTTCTATTGACTTGTATTGGTTATTGACTTAGCACAGTGTCTGACATAATAAGTGTTCAATTAAGCGTGCTTTTTTTTAAAAAAAATATTTTTTATTCAAGGCTGTGAAGTCAAGATTTGGTCACATGTGTCATCAGTGATTTTTTTTTTTTTTAAGATATTATTTACTTATTTTCAGAGAGAGGAGAAGGGAGGGAGAAAGGAAGAGAAACATAGATGTGTGAGAGAAACATCAATCAGCTGCCTCTTGCACACTCCCTGCAAGTGGGCCTGGCCCACAACCCAGGCATGTGCCCTAACCGGGAATTGAACTGGTGACCTTTGGGTTCTCAGGCCAGTGCTCAATCCACTGAGCCACACCAGCCAGGGTCGATTAAGGGTGCTTTTCATTAGGCAGTTAGGAAAATAGGTCTGAACTCTAAAGATTCATTGGGACTGGAGATAGCAGTGTGGAAGAGACAGCAAAAGCCTTGAGAATGGATACAGTCTCCCAGGGAAGTATGAAGACTGAGGAGAGAAGAGGGCAGGGGACAGAACCTTGAAGGATTCCAATACTGAAGGGTAGGAAGTAGAGACTGAGCAAGTGGCAAAGACTGGATGTTACTAGAGAGGCAGAAGAGACAGACAGCGGAGAAAGGCTTTGGGAGAAGGGAGTGGTTACTCTGGTGCGGAGGTGATGGATGCCTTCAGACACCTGGCACTTTAGCAAGAGCAGTTTTAATGGAGTGGGAGACAAAAGCTAGGCTGCAGTGCATTGAGAATGAATAAAAGGTAGAGGCGGTGCGGGGCAGCCTGCTTGGCTGAACCCAGCCTGCTTGGCTGAACCCAGCCTGCTTGGTGCTCAGGAGCTATAGAGAATGCTACTAGGCTTTGGGTCCATTGACTAGACCCTGGGCTTCTAAGGATTTCTTTTTATTAACCTCACCTCTGTCTGACAGGTCGCCTGTGGTCAGGACCATAGCCTGTTTCTGACGGATAAAGGAGAAGTCTATTCTTGTGGATGGGGCGCAGATGGGCAAACAGGTATTATACCTTTCAGCCTTGGGGATAGTGCAGTGTGGAGTTGTGAGCCATAGGGCTCTCATAGACTAGCACCCACCTTCCTTAATTTGACTTCCGGGGAACACTCTTCTGCTTCTCCCATCCCGTTCCCTTTACCCATGGCTCCCATAGAAATGGATCGATGAAGGAGTGGATGGAGGATTAGAGCCACCCGTCAACAAAGGAGCTTTGAGCCTTGTAAAAGAGAAGCAAATGCCACCTAAAAGGAGCTCAAGTTTACCTGATTTCAGAAGAATATCATTAAGGGAGGGAGGAATAAGGGATAAGCTTAATCACCTTGTATATTTAATTTTTTTGGTTTTGATATTTGTCTGAAGGAAGGGCTTTTAAATTTAAAATTTAAATCTTGTACCACCACCAGATAGTCTTTGTTCATTCTCTCAGTCTTTGTTCACATGTGTACATCTTTTATATTGTAATGATAGCATAGGTGTGATTTTATATGCTTGTTTTATCATTTAAATTTGCATAAAACATTTTTCCATGTTGGTACAGTTTTCACAGTTATAGTTTTTAATATTTGTATGATATAGTATCAAATTAATAATCACTCAATCATTACCCTGTTGTCAGGAGACATGCTTTTTGGGGGGGCGGGATGTACAACATGATCTATATCTATGACATCATATATAGACAAATAGCTTTTTCTTTCATTTGAATTATTGTCCTAGGATAAATGCTCAGGAGTGAGACAAAGGTTTAGAATGTTTTCATTATTTTCAGAATGTTTTATTAAATTACTTCCCAAAGTTTTACCGATTTATACTGCTATCAGCAATGTACAGAAGAACCACTTTAATCATAACCTCTCTACCAATGAGAATTGTCCGTTTAAGTGTGCTAATTTAATTACTGTACCAGTTTTTGAAATGTGCATTTCTTTGGTAACTATAAAGTTGAAGTGTCTCTTTCCTCGACTTCAGAACTGGTCAAACCTTCTACTTGTTGCATTTTGACAAGAAAAATATGTTTCAGCACTTGGTGCTCGCCCAGGACTTGTGCTTGGTAGAACGTGTATGAGTTGTGATGCCGCCCTGCCAGAGAAAATGCTTCATCACTTGTCACTTGCTCGGTACTTGTACTTGTAGGTTTTGGTACATGTCATGGGTTCTGGAATGAATTAATGATGAGCACCAAGATACCACGGTATTTTTTAAATGGTGTGTAGCTAGTTTTAAAGAAGCGGCTTTTTATTTAGAAAATTGTTGATAGATTTTTAACGTCATAGACAGGAATAAGGTGAAGAGGACAGTCCCACTTGCTGGAGGTGGCCATGGCTCACCGTTTCCTGGTGCCGTTCCCGAAACTTTCTGTCACCTGCTACACCTCCTCTGGCCTCACTGCCTTGGGCTCTGAGCCCAGCCACACGGGCTCCCCGCAGTCAGTTTCTGGAGCTTGCCCTCCCCTTTGCTGCCGCGGGGCCTCCGCACACCATTCCTCAGCCTGGGGTGCCCGTCCCTGCCCCCCTTTTTACCCGGTAGGCCTCAGCATGGCTGTCATCTCCTTAGGCAAGGCTTGCCTCACCATTCTCTAAATTGGTGGTTCTCCTTTTCCCTTGCGCTGTCATTCTTTAGGGAAAAAAAGATTTTATTTATTAAAAAAAAGAAAAGATTTTATTAATTTATTTTTAGAGAGAGGGAAAAGGAGGGAGAAAGAAAGGGAGAGAAACATGATGTTCGAGAGGAACATCTGTTGGTCGCCTCTTTCACATGCCCCAACCAGGAACTGAATCCACAACCCAGGAATGTACCCGGACCAAGAATCGAACCCAGCCACCTTTTGCTTTGGACAAGGCCCAACTGACTGAGCCACACTGGTCAGGGTTCCCTTGCACTTTACATCTGAGCCAGTCACAAAAGGACACATAGTGTGGGATTCCATTTATTTGAAATGTCCAGAGTGGGCAGATGCATAGAGACAAAGTAGATTAGTGGTTGCCAGGGCTGGGGGTGAGGTGGGAAATGGGGAATCACTAAATGGGTATGAGTTTGCTTTCTGGTTGATGCGAATGTTCTTACACTAGAGATATTGGTTGCGCAACATGAATATACCCAAAACTACTGAATTGTATACATCAAAATGGTTGAACCCTGGCTGGGTCGCTCTGTTAGTTGTCTCATACACCAAAAGGTTGTGGGTTTGATCCCCAGTTGGGGCATCTGGGGAGGCAACCAATCGATGTTTCTCTCTCACATTGATATCTCTCCCCTCACTTCCTCTCACTCTCTGTCTCCCTCCCCTTCCCCCTTCCTTGCTTTCTAAAATCAATAAACATAGCCTTGGGTGAGGATTTAAAAAAAATTAAAATGGTTGAAATAGTGAATTTATGTTATATGAATTTTGTCTTAAATTTAAAACATGCAACATAAATGTAAACTATAAAACATAATAAAACAACACTGGTGAAACCACTACCCAGTTTAAGACCTAGAACATTTTCAGTACTGTATTCTACCTGTGTGCTACTCCTCTTTTTTATGTTTGCCTTAACCCCAGGGAGACCAGCCATCCAAAATTTTATTTGTTATTCCTTTCTCTGAGGGGACAAAAAGTTTCTTTCTCTCTCTCTCTCTCTCTCTCTCTCTCTCTCTCTCTCAATCTCAATAATGTATTGACTAGTTTTGCTTATTTTAGGGGTCATACTGTATATATCTTCTGTAACTTGGTTTAAATGCAACATCATGTTTCTAAAAATTCAGCCATGTTATAAATATTTGCAGTTTGTTCATTCCCCCACAGGTACCCTGACCAGGGGACCAAACCCTCAACCCAGGCATGTGCCCTGATTGGGAGTTGAACCGGCAACCTTTTATTTGACAGGCCAGTGCTCAATCCACTGAGCCACACCAACCAGCACAGGATATACTCTCTTTATTTTTTCTTTTGTTGCCTGTGCTTGGGGGGTCATATATCTAAGAAAATCATTGCCAAATCCAATGTCATGAAGCTTTTGCCCTAGGTTTTCTTTTAAAAGTTTTATAGTTTTAGCACTTACATTTAGGTTTTTGTTCCATTTTGAGTTGATTTTTGTCTGTGGTGTTAGCTAAAGATCCCATTTTGTTTATTGTTTTGCATGTGGATACCCGGTCCCAGCACCATTTGTTGAAAAGATTGTCCTTTTTCTATTGAATGGTCTTGGGATTCTTTTCAAAAATCATTTGACCATGTAAGTGAGGGTTTATTTCTGGACTGTATTCTGGTCCATTGGTTTATATGTCTGCCTTTGTGCCTGTACCACACTATTTTGATTATTGTAGCTTCATAGTAAGTTGAAATCTCCAATATTCTTCTTCTTCAAGATCATTTGACTATGTGGGATCCTTTGAGATTCTATATAAATTTTAGGATGGATTTTTTCATTTCTGCAGGAAAAATTGTTGGGATTTGCCTTGGTTGGTGTGGCTCAGTGGATTGAGTGCCAGCCTGCGAACCAAAGGGTCTCCAGTTCGATTCCCAGTCAGGGCACATGCCTGGGTTGCAGGCTGGGTTCCCAGTAGGGGGTGCTCAAGAGGCAACCAACCACACATTGATGTTTCTCTCCCTCTTTTTCTTCCTCCCTTCCCTTCTCTAAAAATAAATAAATAAATGAAATTTTTAAAATAAAAAACAAACAACATTGTTAGGGTTTTACTAGGGAGTATACTTGAACATAAGATGTTTTTCCATCTATATATATTTCCTTTAATTTCTTTCAGCAGTGTTTTGTAGTTTTCATTGTACAAGTCCTTCATCTCTTTAAGGTAACTCCAAAGTATTTTATTATTCTTGATGCTACTGTAAACACAATTGATTTCCTTTTTTGGATTGTTCACTGTAAATATACAGAAATGAGTTGAGTTTTGTGCGTTGATTTTGTATCCTGCTTCTTTGCTGAGTGCCTTTCATATTTATAGTTGTATGATATTCTACTATGGAGTACACCTCGATTTATTCATTTTTTTTTGTTGATAGATATTTGGATGGTTTACAGCGTTGTGTTCTGTAGCAAGCAGTATTTCTGTGATCATCAGCGTGTCTCCTTGTACATTTGCTCAGGCGTTCCAGGGGGCTAGTGAAGTGAGTGGAAGTGCTGGGTTATAGGCTGTGCAGGTTGGAACACCATGCAATGGTTGTTTTCCAAAAGAGTTTTAACAAGTAACCTCCCTCCACAACAGCAGGGTGTTGTTCCGTAGCCTGGGCAGAGTTTGGTATTGTCCACCTAAAAGTTTTTGCCTGTTTGGCGGATGTGAAATAGTGTCTCATCGAGGTTCAAATTTGCATTTTCCTAATTACTGCTGAGCGTGAGGATCTTTTCATGTGTTCATTGAACAGTTTTGCTTTTTTTCTCTGAAATGTATGTGGTGTTTTTACCCATTTTTATTGACTCATTTGTCTTTTTCTTACTGATTTTTAGGAATTTTCCGTATGTTCTGTATCTGTAGTCTTTATCAGTTACAGTGTTGCACATATCTTTTCCTAGATTGTGGTTTGTCTTTTTTGTCCATCCATTTGAGTTTTTAATTTTTACTATTTTTATTATATTTTTTCATTTCTAATTGTGTCCTTTCCAAATTTGCCTGGCCATTTTCTGTGGTGTCTTATTCCTTCTTTTCTTCCTTGACCATTGCACACAGTTATTTTTTTTTTTTATTTTCTGTTATCATAATTCCAGTGTCTGAAGTCTGGAGGGTATAAATATTTTGTTGTTTGTTGGTTCTGTTGACTGTCACTCAATGGTGGTGTATATCCTTATGAGTTTAGTAATTTTTATTGTGATCTTGTGTTTTAGCGAGTTTAATGTGTGGGAACTCTAAGGGCCTCCATTGGAGATGGGGGAGTGGGGTGTGGAGGCTTCGGGTGGGATGGGCTCAGAGGTTTCCTTTATTTTCCAGCAAGCCCAATAGGACATTAGGAAATTCTTGTTGTAATATATGCAATGTCTATTAATAGGTTCATTGTTTAGCGGGATTTCATCTTGAGAAATTTTCTAACTTGAATTAGACCTGGAAAATTCCAAGGGTTTTAAAATGATCCAATTACACGTATGTCCTTTTCCTCCTTTGAGAGAATATGGAGACAGAAGTTGCATAGCATGCAGAGGAACAGATGAGGATTTTTTTTGATATTGGTAAAGTGCTTAGAATGTGTTTGGCATATGGTAAGTCTGTGTAAGTGTTAAGAGAATAAGTAATTAAAAGTAAGTATTTTCTGTTATGTTAGGTCTGGGTCACTACAATATTACCAGTGTACCTACCAAGCTGGGTGGAGACCTTGCTGGCGTGAACATTGTCCAGGTTGCCACCTACGGTGATTGTTGCCTGGCTGTGTCCGCTGCTGGAGACCTCTTTGGTTGGGGCAACTCTGAGTACCTGCAGCTGGCTTCTGTCACGGACTCCACACAGGTATGAGGCCAGTGTAGCGCGGCGCTGGGAGATTTGGAAATACAACGTGTTAAGGACATTTGCAGGAGGTTCTTCACCAAAGTGTGATGTATAAAGTGCTAGAATGTTAAAACCTAACCTGTTGTAAGACTGCCTCTCTAAGGTTCCAAGTTCCTCACAGCCTTACTAGAGTCCGGAAAGAAAGCTTGGGTTCAAAAGCGATTGTTATCAATCCTTTGACGAGATAGTCCTGGTTTAGAGCAGTATTTTACGTGTGCCTGGGTACCCTGTCTTGTTCTATAGAGATATGAGGCTTTTTACCCAAGTTCCTGTGATGTTACAGTGAAATGTATATGCCCCCAAAGCACACAGATCGTGAGCAGGCAGCTGAATGAAGACACCTGTGTGGCCCCACCCAGGTCGAGCACTAGAGCACCCGCAGCCCTTCAGGAGGCCTGCCTGCAGCCTCCCCTCAGCGCTAGCCTGGCCTTCTCTTCGAAGCGAGCCGCCGGTTATACAATACAGTAGAACCTTAAATGTTTTTATTAAGTAAATACGAACAAATAGTAAAGCTCATTGCATAATTAATCTCTGTATACCCATCACCCATATTCAACAATTACCAGCTAATGGCCCATTAAAAAAAAATAGAGATAAAATTCATGATTTTGAAGTACATCATTTAGTGGCTTTTGGGAGTCACAAGGATGTGCAGCCATCACCGCTATCTAATTCCAGACGTTTTCGTTAACCTCCCTCCGCCCCAAACTCCTGTGCTCTCTAATGGCCAGTTTTGTTGCATATATAATTTTATCTACTTCTCTGCCCTGGATTATTTTGAAGCAAATCCTAGATACCATATTTTATCTATAGAACTTTCAGTATGTATCTCTAAAAGATAAGGACTAGTTAAAAAAATTTACTATTGGGTTGGCCAGAAAGTTCATTTTGTGTCTTTAACTTCATTGGAAACAATTTTGTTAGATTCTATTGTGACAGCAGTCATCAGCATACATTTTTAAAAAATTTATCAAAATTGGTGGCTTTTTGTGCAGCCTTTTTAATATTGAAGGTGGAGGAAGATACACAACATTTTCGCCATATTATTATTCTTTATTATTTCAAGAAAGGTAAAAATGCAACTGAAATGCAAAAAAAGATTTGTGCAGTGTATGGGGAAGATGCTGTGACTGATCAAGTGTGTTAAACGTGGTTTGCGAAGTTTCTTGGTACTATTGACATTTTGGCCAAATAATTCTTTGCTCTGAGGTTGTCTCATGCATTGAAAGATCTTTAGCAGCACCCCTGGCCTCTACGCACTAGAAGCCAATAGCAAGGGATAGCCAATATACTCAAAATATCCAATTTAATAAAGTTACTGGTGAAAATGAAAAATGTGTCTTTTATTTTCCAGAAAAAACTACACAGACTTTTCGGCCAACCTAATACATTCCTTAATATCACCAAACTTCTGACAAATACAGAAGGGGTTTTAAATGCATACTAATGATAAACTGGCACAAAGGGAAACTGAAGATCAGCTAATAAGGTGAAAAAATGCATTCTCCGTGGTCTGGCACAGTGGCTAAAGTGGTCAGGGATTTGGCTCTGAGCTTCCTAGTAGCCAAAGCAAAGAAGAAAACATGGTCATTTAAATGATTCATTGTTTCTGTAAGATAAACAGCAAATAAAGTGTTCAGGAGAAGTGCTGTTCTTCCTAATGCCAAGGCCTGAGGAAATGTCTCCCGTGGCCTTCCTGTGGAGGACAGGTCCAGTATCCTATCACTGTGTAACAGATGACCCCTAAACTTAGTGGCTTAAACACCATTTTTTAAAAGATTTTATTTATGTATTTCTAAAGAGGGGGGAAGGGAGGGAGAAAGGAAGAGAAACATCAATGTGAGAGAGAAACATCAGTTAGTTGTTTCTCATATGTGCCCCGACCAGGGACTGAACCAGCAACCAGCGACCCTTCGCTTTGCTGTTCGATGCCCAACCAGCTGAGCCACATCAGTCAGGGCAAAACAACAGTGTTTTGTCCCACATTTTCTGTGGGTCAGTAATCTTTGGGTGGCTTAGCTGTGCCTTCTGGCTCGGAAGGTCTCAAAGGCTACAGTCTTCTTAGGGTTCAGCAGCGGAGGGCTGCCTTCAGGACCATACTGGTGGTGGCTGGCCGGAGGCGGGTCCTTGTGGACCGCTGCTCTGGGGCCGCAGCTTCTCGCTGGCAGCTGGCCAGCTAATAGCTGTTGGCCAAGCCTTCCGTGGTTCCCTGCCAGGTAGCCTTCTCCACATGGTAGCTCACAACATGGCACCTGGCTTCATCAGGCTGAGTAAATGAGGAGGGAGAGAGAGTGCCAGCGAGACAGAAGCCCGTGTTTCATAATTTTATCTTGCCACTGACTTTCCCTTGCTTTTGCTGGAATTCTGCTCATCATGAGCAAATCACTTAGGCCCAGCTCCCGCGTAGGGCAGGATCGCACATGGGTGTGAATAGGAGGGGATGGGGATTACAGGGGGTCATCTTAGAAGTAGCCCCTCACAACCATGATCCTGCACTGTGGCCTCAGCCTCACGCTGTCAGTGACAACAGCGGTATGTTTCCAATGGCTCTCGGCTGGAGTATTTCTCAGCACTCACCGCAGGCCCTGTGCCAGGGCACCGTGAGGTGAAGTAGCTCCCCGGGGGCCAGCAGGGGAACCAGGCCCCAGCTCTGGCGGCCCTTCATCGAGGCGTACATTTTCTGGATTGGCAAGCCCTTCATTCCTTCTCTATTTAGGGACTGTTATCTTTCAGCTGCCTCCATTTGAAAGTGGATCTATGAAGATTCATGGCTGTCACTAAAACACTTAAAAATCTAGCTTTTCAAAGTTATTCCTCAGTAGAAGTGCCAAGACCAAATCCTGCTGGAAAGCTAAGTTGGCCGCATTCCGCTCTCCAAACCCCTGATCCTCCCGTCTCTCACTCTCAGCAGATCTTGCCTCCTGTTTAATAGAGAAAACAGATGCTGTCAGATGAGAATGGTCTTGGTTTCCTACCGTGACTCCTGTACACTCTCACCTGGACACGTTCCTTTTTCTAGCAGTAGAGGAGGTGTATTTCTTCCTGTGGATCCCATCTTCCCCCTTCTCAGAGGCCATACTCCATCTGCTGGGCCTTCTTTCCCACAACTTCAGTCTGTCCTCCTCTACTGGTCCCTCCACCAGTCTGTACCTGATTCATGTGTCTTCCCTCTTACAAAGCCCTGTGTGGACTCCTCCGTCTCCTTCCATTCTCTCTACCCCTTTACTTTACCTCCTGCTTCCCTTCTAGGACAGGCTTCCTAGGAGCCGCCTTTACTTTCTGTGTTTCCTCATCTCCTATTCATTTTTCAGTCCCTTCTACTTAGTTTCTACCTGTATTAGATTGCTGGGTAGCTCTTGATAGGTTACCAGTGATGTCCATGCTGCTAAAAATAATAATAAAAAATCTGGAGAACATTTTCACTCTTTATCTTTCCTGACCTCTCAGAAGCATTTGACATCTTCGTGAAAACCATTTTTTCTTTTGCCCCTTAGACTAGACTCTTCTAGTGCTCTCTTGTCTTTCTTGTCGTTGCCTCTTGGTTTTATTTACTGGGTCTCCTCTTGTGCCAGGCCTTTAAGTGTTGAGGATCCTCATGGCATGGACTTTGCTCTTCTTTTCTTCATATTATCCCTTTAGAAGACCTTATCCATAACCCTGGCTGCCGTTACCACCTATGTGCTAATGATGCTCCAGCTTACATGTCAGCGTTCCAGACAACACCAAGGAGCACTTGACATTTCCGCTTGGTCGTCTCCAGGCACCGCGAGTTCAGTACGTCCCAAGGTGAACTCGTGCTCATCCCCGTGCTCTGATCCTTCTCCGCTGTTACCCCTGTCCATCACGTTCCCTTCTCACAATTTCACAGCATCCTGCGTGATCTGGCTGCCCTCTCCCCACCAGTGTCTTGCACTGTGTTCTCCCTTGTCCCCCCGCCACCCCCGCCCCGCAACCCTGCTTTAGCCACTCTGATCTTGTTTTTTGTTTTAATAATTTATTTACTTTTAGAGAGAGGGAAGGGAGAAAGAGAGGGGGAGAAACATCGATGTGCAAGAAAAACATTGATAGGTTGCCTCTTGCATGCCCCATCCGGGGACCTGGCCCTCATCCCAGGCACGTGCCCTGACCGGAAATTGAGCTGGCGATCTTTGGGTTTGGGAGGTGATTCCCAGCCCACTGAGCCACACAAGTCAGGGCCACTCTCACCTTGTTTAACTTCCCCGAATGTGCCATGCTCACCTCATTCCCCTTGCACATTCCATCTCCCCTACTTGGCATATCCTGCTCTTCCCCCCTTGCCTGGTTAATTCCACTCATCCTTCAGGTCGGAGGAGAAGATGAAGCCTTCTCCGACTGCTTTTTCCCCCAAACTAGATCTGTCTCTCTGACATTCATTCTCAAGACCCTGTAATTTCCTTGCTTGCATTCAGCACAAATTAATTTCATGTTAATTTGGGCTGTCATCTTCCTCTTCCACTAGACTAAGAGAGGGACCAGGTCTCTTGCTCCCCTCATATTCCCAACACCCAGTTAGAAGGTTAGCATATGTTCAGTGTTTGGGAAATATTTGTGGTACGAACGGATGAACTGGGACTTACCTGCTCTATACCCAACACCAGGTTATTTCTCACCGGTTTGTCTTCCTAACAGTATGGATCTTTTCTTTGATTCAGGTGAACATTCCCCGGTGTTTACCCTTCTCAGGAGTGGGCAAGGTGAAACAGGCTGCATGTGGTGGGACAGGCTGTGCTGTGTTGAATGGTGAGACCTTTCTGCAGACTCCCTGGGCAGCTCTGGGTGGGCTGGATGGGGAAGGGCTGGTGTGCAGTGGACCCAGAGGCAGCCGACCTCAGCCTGAGGAAGGGCATGTGGCTGGGGGCAGATCAAGCTGGATTGAATTCAGCTAATAGAGGGTGAAGTGACATTTGTGACAGAAATAGCCGCGATTTATATGCAGACAGCAGAGAGTATAGTGATCCTGTAGCAGACCTCCAGGACAGAGAACGAACTAGTTTCTCCCGGTCCCTTAGTCTGGACCAGAGCCTGCAGCTCTGCCTTCTCCAGGGAGGCTGTGCCAAGAAGTGAAAGGCAGATAGGAGAGGGGCCTTAGGGCTTAGATACTGAGAGCCATGCCTCTGGGATTAAACATCTGGTACCTCTGATGAATATTAAACATTTTATAAGCAAAAAATCATCTAAGAGTTTTAGGAACCTGGCCAAAAGTTGTTTAGTACTTGGCTTAGTCTTCTGATCAGTGTGAAACATAGAGCTGTTACGAAAAACTGTCCTTCAAAGCCTCTCCTGGTGTTCACATGGGGTTTTTGGGTGATTTATGGATTGGTCCTGTCCTGGTTACCCTCAAGATGTGGGGAGTTTGTATTCTGAGATTGGTGAGCTGGCTAGACATACTCCACAAGCAAGAATTTGAAAGAAGAGAAAAGAAACATTATTTTAAATATCTGTCAGCATGTTCTTTCCAAGCAAGGAGAAAAGAAAATGCATGTGGATATAATGTATCTTGGTAGTGCAGTTTGAATTTCTAGTGGAGGGCTGCTCTTGGTTTGACTTACTGACCGTTGTTTTTCCTGTAATGTAGGAGAAGGACATGTTTTTGTCTGGGGCTATGGAATTCTTGGGAAAGGACCAAACCTAGTGGAAACTGCTCTTCCAGAAATGATTCCACCCACTCTCTTTGGCTTGACGGAGTTCAACCCAGAAGTCCAGGTTTCCCGTATACGATGTGGACTCAGCCACTTTGCTGCCCTCACCAGTAAGTGACCAAGCCATGAGGCCCCAAAGACCGATAGAACTTCACTCTCTCAGGTTCAGCCCCAAACTGTGGGCAGCTCTCAGTTTCTATCCATTTAGTGGAGCGGTACCCTTGTGTGGATAATTAAAGAGAGCGGCTAATCCAGAAGTTGTTTGGCTTGAGGTTGTATAATGTGTGTCTTTTTTTCATCCCGAAGTTTTGTTTTGGTTCATTTGGTTTGTGGTTAGGCTAATGTGAGAGTGAATTTTCTCAAGAAGATACCAGTCATGGTGGGAGAGGGGACCCTTGAGTATGTTGGGGTGCTGGGGGAAGCCAGCAGAGGTTTGGCACGTCCACAGTGCGTAATTAGGAAATAAGCGTGTGGGGCTTAATCCCATTGCCTGGCCAAGCCCAAACCCCGATCTGACCCAGGAACGTGGGATGGCAAGGGGCAGACTTGTAAGACCATCCTGTGGTTTTGTGGAAGTAAATCTGCCCGATTTCTCCCAAGTACTTGGGGAGAGAATGATCAAAGGGAAGGCTGAAATGGAGATTTTCTCAAAGGTTTGCCAAATTACACAGCAATAACGTATCCAGTTACTCTACAGACCTCCAGAATGTGTGCTTTTCTTGATTACATCTATTCCGCCACAGTGACTGTTGGTTCAGTTTGTTCCTCCTTAGTTGACTTGAATCGTCAAGACTGTATTACTTTAATTTCATTTTGTGATTCTCAAGCAAATTCACTGTTTCCTTGCAATTAAAAAATCTTTTTGTCTCATGGTAAGTAATTGTTTTCTTTTAAACATCTGGGCTGGGACAGTCAGTTCGGGTCATCCTTGTTTGTGTTCTCTGGCCCCATACTAACATGAGGACTGTTCCAGATGATCACCATTCAGTGTTATCTGAATTCCAGGCTTTGGGGCCTTAAAACACACAGGCTGTAGTGTGGACTGTTGTGCTGGTGGGTTGGAGTCTTGCTTGACTGTGTGCACTGAAGTACCAAGCGGCAGCTGTGCTGACGGGGGTGGAGAATCCCTCGCTACCACTCAAGCAGAGCCAGCCACTTCCATTTGCAAATGAGCCTAGTTCATGTCAGTTTTTCAAAGCTACTTCAGCTCAGTAAATAAGAATTATTGTGGACTAATTCTGGAGGTACCAGTGGGCTATTTTCCAGACACTTCTAAACAGGGGTTAGCCTTTGGGCTGCGTGCAGCCCAGGATGGCTATGAATGCAGCCCAACACAAAATCATGAGTTAACTTAAAACATTATGAGATTCTTCAGTGATTACGTGCTGCCATGTACTTAATGTGTGGCCCAAGACAACTCCTTGCAGTGTGGCCCAGAGACGCCAAAAGGTTGGATGCCCCTTAAACTATGTGCAAAGTCACATACCTGAAGACCCACCGTATGAAGTCTTCCAGTAGAGTAGACTGTTTGTCGCCACGCCATGTGGCCGTTCTGGGTCGCACCAAAGTGAGATTCCTACCTAGCAGTGATTTTCAACCAGGGCGCCACAAGAATTTTTAAAACATACAATACCTGACTATTTAGTCAGGGGCACTGACCTCTTTCCCCTTAGGCTGTCAAATGAAAATGACAGCAGCCAACACAACAGTAGCCATCTGGTCTGAATGCCCTGTCTTGAACCATAAATATATAGATCATATAATTGAGTTGCATCTTATTGGTCACATTGCATAATAAAGTTGTGTCTGATTGGTTAATTCTTGGTACCAGAAATCCTTATATATATAAATATAGGCACCTGATAATTTAAAAAGTCACTTTGGAGCAAAAATGTTAGGCATTTACTATTATTATCTTTTTGTAAATTAATAAAATTATACCTATTTTTCTGTCAGATTGGCAAAAATATATTTTTTGGTGTGCCACAAAGTTTTAGGAATGATTAAAACAATTAGTTTATGAGCACCATGAGATGGGAAAGGCTGAAGATCGCTGCCCCATAGCTTTCCCCCAAGACGCCGCAGCCCCCCTCTAAGAGCCAGTCCTGTCCCTCAGTAGAGGGAGCATCAGAGCTCGGGTTTCTCCCGTCTGTGTGCCTGGCATTTGCATATGGCCTGCTGGGAGTTGGAGTTCGTTAGTTTACCCTGAAGTCTGCAAACATTTTGGGGGCCAGACTGAATTGTTCTGTTAAACACGTAAAATCTGAGGGTAGAGGACCAGAGGGGATGGTCAGACCAGAGGAGCTCTGACAGCTTGAGACAAAAGGATTCCGTATTTAATCAGCCCAGATTATTTTAGTCCTGGCTTTTCCATGTCTTTTCTACTTCTGCTTGCCAGATGTGGGTGGCTAAGCAGGCCTCTGCTCCACAGGGTCCCAGAGCTGACGTGGATGGAAGTCAGAGACAAAGGCCGGGTTGTGGGGTGCTGCCCTCCGTGGTCTGGGTCCTCTCCTGGAGGCGGCATTCCCAGAGCCCCGGCCTCGGTGCCTGCTCCCGGGCTGCGCTCTGCAGCACCCTCTCTGTTCTGTTCCTTCTTGGCACTCCTCACAGTTTGTAAGCATGTATGTATTGGTTGGCTCATTTGTTTATTTCTAGCTGTTCGACTCGTCCCATGAGGACGGGAACCGTACATGCTTTAATCACACAGACGTAGGCCAGCCCAAAGAGGTCCCAGTCACCATGTGTTACTTGACTGAATACTCCTGAGAAATGGAAGCTCAGACAAGGAATGATGATCATCCTACTTTGAGGATGCTCAGATTTCAGGGTTTGGTCGGACACAGCTGTGGGCGAGGGGCATATGCCCCGGGGGTGAGCAGAGCAGGCTGCGAGCAAGGGCCGCGTTGGCCCACCGCTCCATGCATAGACCCATCTCGCATGTGGTGGATACAGTGTCAGTCTGGGCTTGGGCATATTCCTGGTCTGGGGGCCATATACTTTTTCTTTCGAAAGAAAGCATTACTCTCTGGTAGAAGCTGAAGTTTATCATTGGGCTCTGTTTGTACCAGGTTCTGGAAAGCTTGTTTTCACCACTCTTCTTGGAGACTTACCCTTGGTCTAGTCCCAACCAAGCCACTGTTTTTCTTTGCAGACAAAGGAGAGCTGTTTGTATGGGGCAAGAACATTCGAGGGTGCCTGGGAATCGGCCGCCTAGAAGACCAGTATTTCCCGTGGAGGGTAAGACTGGACTGGGTGGGCTTGAGGGCAGGTCCACAGGGCAGATTCACCTGCTGTGGCAGCAGTGTCCTGTGTGCAGCTGGGCTGGCGTTAGGTCCCTGGGACTGCCCCCGCTTCTGGGTCCTGGCTGCGCTCCTCCTCGGGCTTGGTAGCATCAGGTGAGGCCACTCAGGTGAGGAGCCGGAGCAAGCGCCCAGCACTGGCTTTTCTGACTGCAGGCTCACAGCCTTTCGCTTCTTCCTGGGGCCTGTTGACGACCAGTGTGGGGGGATGAATGGCCTGTGTGGGGTTCCAGTACCCTGGTGCCCTGGAAGCAGCCGCATCGGAAGCTGCCCCTGGGGATGCGGAGCAGGGAAACAGAGGCAGCCTCAGAGAGGAGCAAGCGGCAGGCTGGGTGCCGCGAGGCTCCAGGCGCCCTGACAGGGAGAGGTTTGAAATGAAGAAGCTGGCGTCCCGGGAGCTGTTTGCCGAGACTGTGCAGAGGAATGTTTACAGTGAATTTAAAGGAAAGCAGGATGTTTAATATTTAGAATGCCTTACCACAGCCACCAAAGTGAAAAAGCAAAGGTTTTCCTTAAGGGGAGGATGCAATTAGACAACGAGGCTCATTTCAAAATTAAAGGGGAACTTCTTCAATTGTAGTTTATCTTAGTGTTGTTTACTAAGTTTTTTAAGCTCTAAAAAAAGCTATTTTTTTTTTTTAAACATAGAACACATGTCCTTGGTTCAAAGTGTATTATGAACAATAGGTTTCCCATGTCTTGTCTCAGCAGTACTGGTGTCTGATGTTCCCTCTGGAGACAGTCTCTGCATATGGGAGCGTGTGCGTGAGAGTGCGTGAGAGTGCGTATGTCTGAGTATTTTTTAAAACTTTGATTTTAATAATGTGTTTTGAAGTTGTGTAAAGTATCTTTTAAAAACACATGTAAAGTGCAGAAGATATGTATAATTTAAATAAAACAAGGATTTGTCTGTCCAAAACCCACTACAGGGTGTTTTGAGGCTCTTTGGTATTTTAGGGGCTTGTTTCTACTGGCCCTTCCCTCAGCTGCTGACTCTCCTGGGTCTCTGTGAACTTGGCAGGCCCTGGTTCCTTTATAAACACAGTAGGTGCAGTTTCTAAGAGAACAGGTCAAAATGGAGACTTTAAACTTGTTAGGAAAAAGATGGTTGTGCACCAGAGTTGTTCTTAAGCTGGTTGGCGCTTACGCACTTGTTCCCTGGAAATACCATTACGTGTGAGGAATGGAGAGTCAGTTGGTGGATAGTGGATGGTACCATATATCAATAATGTGAATTTAAACATCCTACTTGTTTCCTTGGTAGTTCCTTACTGCCCTCTCTTGAACCCCACCAAATCGACCTTTCCAAGGGGAAGCTAAGGATATAATGAAGCAGCTGGGTTTTGGATGAATGCCTTGACTAGGGGCTCCCCACCTGCCTTCGTTTCCTCCAAATGAGAGTGAAGATATAAGGACAGCATGAAATAAGATTTGAAATCCTATAGCGTTTTCCTTATTGGAGTGGCTGAGCCACCTTTGGGCCTGTTGTGAAGCTGGGTGCGGCCGGCTGCTGGGGCAGACACCCCTGCCATATGGACCAGGCACCCTCTCGCCGACTCCGTACTCACCCAGCCTCCCTCTGGGTGTGTCCGTCTCTGCCTCTGTACCATCCGGGAAAGGACACTCGGCTGCTTTCCACCAAGTTGTTGTCCTCCCTTTCATATGCTTGTTGAGCCCTAACTGTCTGTGGAGCTACTTTGTTCCCTCGTTACCTTTTGATAGGAGTTGGGGGGGACGGGTGAAGGAGAGGGCTCGAAAGTATGGTGCTGAGATCTGACGGCCCGGTCCTCCCGCTCTGTGCCCGCCCGAAGGTGCCCGGCTGCGGCTCTGGGACAGGGTGGTGGCAGGAACCAGGCCTTGGACCAACCAGGCCGGGTTCCTTCAAGATTCAGTTGGTCTGTTGTTGAGCAGCTGGGCCTTGCTCCTGTCTGTTCTGTTATACTCACTTTAAAAAATTATAGGAGATTTTTAGCCTTTAAAAAATCCCTGTATTTTATTATTAATCTTCAGTAGGGGCTGTGTTGCATCATTTTTAAAGTATTTCAAGAAAAAAAAAGAGTAAAGTCTTATTTGTAGTTCCTACAGTGGTACCAACTAGTTACTCTTGGACTCACGGAACCTGGGCTTTTCCCTCAGTATGTAGGCCCAGGTAGTGACATCTGAGCCACCTGATTTAAACCACTCCTTCTGGAAGCTTTTCAGGATGTTTTCCTGCTACACATTGATACTCAGAGCTCTGAAGATTCAGTGATTTCTTCAAGGCCACACATCTTGTAAGGAGAGCCAAGGTTCAGACTCAGCTGTGTCTGTCTGTGAGACGCTAACCTCACAGTAGCCCCCCGTCTTCTGCGAGGGCCTGAGCTGGAGAGTCAGGGTCCCCAGCGGAAGCGAGAAGGCTGTGTGTGGAGGCAGAGACACTGCGCAGGTGTCGTCTGGTCTTTACAGGACCCTGTGCCCTGAAAGGCAGCACCGCAGGCATGGGAGCCGGCTGCGGGGGGCAGTTTTTGAATGGCCTTCACCTTTCAGCCCTGAGAAAAGCACTCACCTTCCCCAGACAGTGCAGCCTTTCTAAGGGGGCAGCAGACTGTCAGCACGCTGGATGCTTTGCCTTCGTTCTCTCTTATCCTCAGGACAGCCTGTGACAGTTTTTGCTCTTCCCTCGCAGTGTGTGTGCACCTGTGGACACTGACTAGAGTCAAAGGGGCTGGCCCCGTCTCCTAGCGCTCTGGGTGGGGCTGCGATGTGACCCTCACCATGAGCCCCTCGGGTCAGCACCAGGTTGGGTTTGGGAGCACAAGCTGGGAAACCCCCTGACTTCTAGGGCTCTTTTTGGCACGGCTGCCTCAGTAGCCACAGGCCAAGGTGGTTCTGGCGGCCCGGGAGAGGGGTGCGCTGTGGGAGCTGGGCGCTCTGGGCACGCATCCCTGCGGGCCAAGCTCTCTGCCTTTCTCAGCCTGCCCGTGTGGTGCCAGGAAGGCAAGTGCAGGTCCAGCCAAGTCAGGGAAGCCGCCAGTTGGCCGGGCCCGCTCACAGTCCCAGGTCTGTGCTCCTCGCCCTTCCTCTGTCTTCCACCTGGTGGGTGTTTGTTTTAGGAACGTGTAAATGTGGAGAGAGATGTTCCTCAACTGAGTCTGCTTAAACTTTTAAGTCACTTGGACTAAAAGTGCTTTTGGTTTTTAGAACTGTTTCCCTTTGCAATAATATTGTGAGTGTAAATTGGTTTAGAATAGAAACTCCTTTTAACCTTGATGAGGACAAAAATAAAACATGGCTGAGGGCATTCTTCTGGACTCAGTTCAGAGACTGTGAGTGCCTGTTCCGCAGGAGGAACCTCCCGCTGCCCCACAGAGGGAGGGCCTTAGAGGCCAGGCCCGCCCGCCTCAGCCAAGACCACTGTCCTGGTGAGTAAACCAAAGCCAAGTGGTTTACTCTGCTTTGGGCGCTAATGGCCAGAGCACTTGGGGAACAAGGGCATAGGTGCGTAAGCGCAGCAGCTTGGCTGCAGAGTAGTGTGGACAGGGGCACTTTCCCCGGCGGTGGTCAATGAAATGTGCTCTAATGGCCCGGGAGGTTGCTAAGAGTTTGCCTGGGCCCAGTCACTACAGAAGCAGCATGTTTTCCTCTGCTTCCCTGGCCAGCCTGGAACGCTTTCTCAGTCCACAAGCCTTTGTGACAAACGGGCGCTGCTTCTTGTTTGTTTAGTGATTTCGCTAATAGGTTTTGCTAAAGACGTTTGTTTAGGGAGGGAGGGGCGGGAAGCACTACTTGGTTACTAGTGTTCATTTGTTTGTGGCCGGGAGTCCTTAATGGACTTGTCTCCCGCGCCAGAGGCCAGAGGCGTGGAGCCTCAGCACTGCTGCCTCTGGGCTTTTAGGTCAGGCCATCTGGATTAGGCTTTTCCCCTCTTAAGCTCAGTAAACTCCACGGGCTGTGTCAGGTCGCCTTTCCAGCTGTCACACTGCTCAGCTGAGCGCAGCCACAAGGGCAGGATGGCAGGGTTCAGATCTGGTTAGAACAGCAGCGTCACGCCCTGGCTGAGGTCTGCGGAGTAAGGGGTGCAGGTGCAGTGTCTTGGAATTTGCACCCAAGAAAACATTGTCCACGGCATTGCTTCTTTTTGCACCAAGAACCTTTGGAAGGACAACGAGAAACGAGTTAAAAGTAGTTTCCATATCAGAGGGAAGGTGGGAAGTGAGGGCGGTGATGATGGGTGGTAGTAACACGTCTTTAATGCCTTTTTATTCTTTTCCATTGAATGTTATTTTATATTGTAGGCATATGAGTGTATTATCTGTTCAAAATCATCATCATCATCATCATCATCGTCATCAATAAGAGAAAGAACAGGGCCCCTTTTCTGGAGAATGGGCGTGGGCACACCCATTTCCAAGGCCAGGCTGTAGAACAGTGAGTCCTACACTCACCGTGTAGGCTGGAGCCTCTGTACCCCCGGAGACTTCCCGCTGGTACCTGGAGTGTTGGGCCTTCTTGGGACAAAACGCTGCCCACGTGGACAGGCAGCGTCGGCAGGACTGCTGGCCAGGCCTTTGGCACCTTCTGAGGCACAGTAAACATCCCTCCCTGAGGGCACACGTGACTCACGTGCCTGTGTCTGGAACTGGAGCTGGTGGGCAAAGCGAGTAAAGACACCGGGCCCAGGGGGCCTCATTCCCAAAGTGGACCCTGGAGGCAGGAGAAAGGGTTTCTCAAGCTGTTCCTGTGGGCCGTGGTGGTAATCACTAGGAAAGGTCTCTGAACTCCTGGCTTGAGAACCAGTGCTGCCCTCTGGCAGGGCCACGCTCCGAGGGGACCGACCTGTGTGGGGTGTGCACTCAGGCTTCGTGCTGTGCCCAGAGCGGCCTCTTGGAAGGGAGGTGTGAGCAGCAACATCTGCTGTCGAGTAGGTGGGGAGCTGGGATGGCCCTTTCCATGGGGAGTGCATTGACTCATCCCAGCAGACCTGCTGGGTAGGTTGTTAGTATCCCCTTTGCCAGGGGAGGGAGCCAAGGCAGAGCCAGGATCGGGCCCCAATGGGGCCACCTGCACACCTGTGTGCCTCCAAGCTGGCCTTTTCCCCTCATGGTGTGCTGGGTCTTGTTTTTCAGGTGACGATGCCTGGGGAGCCCGTGGATGTGGCGTGTGGTGTGGATCACATGGTGACTCTGGCTAAATCATTGGTCTGAATCTCCTTCCTGGCCTGCTTGAGCCTGGCTCGGGCCTCGGAACCACTCAGATTGCTTAGCAGGGGCAGCCAGCGGGGTTCGATGGGGCTCAGAGAGGATCAGAGTGTGATCCTTCACAACGTGTGACACTCTCTTCTAAAGCCCTTAGGAGGAACGTACTGGGAGTTCTGGACCATGGTCCCTGCTGGAGGTGAGACCTGCTGAATTCACACGTAAGGGCTGCCTTCGTCAGCCTGATCTACAGGAAGACGAGTCCCCGGGCTGTGTGGCCCCCACAGGGCGAGGATAATTAGAATGTCTCGGCTCTTTCCAGGGGACACAGGATGGCTTCTGGCGTCACTTCTGGTCCAAGAACCTAGCTCCCGTGGCATGCCATTTTCTTTGATCTTAAAAGGAGGCCTGGCCGAATGCAATGCTCAGGAGAGGTGCTGTAGCCTCGGAGCACGGCAGAGCCCTCGGCGGGTGTCTGGGCAGGCTGTGCGTGGGCCCCAGGGAGAGTGCCGGGCTGGCTTCGGCCTGGGGTTTTCATTCAGGTCCTCCCTTCCACCCAGCCATTTCCAGGCGGCTGCGCACGGCCAGCCTGCTGCTGGGGCACATGCCGAAATCCCTTCCTTGGACTGGGGTTCTCCCTGAAAATATCGGTGGGCACCAGCTCGGTACCACATGGGCTCATGACTGTCACCAGCCTTGTAACCATTCTCTGCGCCTGGCTTGGAACAGTGGAGAAGACCCCGCAGGAAAAAGATCAAGGCCAGATTCCTGTGGGCTGAGGGCTCTGAACACATCCCACAAAAGCTTGGCTGGCGTGCCAGCCTCAGAGAAGAAAGATTCAAAGTTGTGAAAAACATTTGAGTTAATAATGTAACTTGTTTTATTCTTTAAAAAAAATATTTTAAAAACCTTTTTTTGGAATAAAGTCTATTTTCTGCCTTTTTTATTTTAAAGAACTGTAGAGGTAGTTTTATTTTGCCCGATCATTTATAGAGATTAGCTTTCAGAAACAAGGCTTTTGATAAAGAGGCTACTAGAAGCCAGTGAAAAATATGGTAAAAGACAGTTCTGCTTGAAAACTGTTTTCTGAACAGTCTACTCCCACACACAGTTCAGTTGGAAGAAAATAAGTATAAAAATAACTGGTGATCATGTCACAAACTGGGATCTCACTCACTGCCTGCCTGCGCCCCTTCCTCTTACCGATTCACTCAACAAGCTTACTGTGTGCCCCTTACATGCCAGGGACTGTACCCCCTGGGGCATGTGGCAGCAACATTTCTGTAAGCAGGCCTCCTTAAACTTATGTTTTAGGGGGCGGAGTGTACAATAAACAAGCAAAATGCAAAGTATGTTAGGTGGTTACGTGGGCTGTGGAACAATAAACAGAAGGAGATGTGTGGCGTGTGGGGGTTGCAGCTTAAAGTGAAATCATCCCTGAGCCGATGTCCTGGCTGTGACCTGAGGCGACGAGAACCAGCTACATGGAGTCTGGGGGAGCAGCCCAGGGCCCCTTATCTGGGCTCATGCTCTACTGTGGGGGACCAGTTCTTTTGTTTATTACAGCAAAGCTTTTCCATAAGCTCGAAATAGAAATTCAAAACAGGCTGTCATTTTCCTTCCTGAAACTCCTGGATGGGCCGAGGAACACATTGCCCCAGGGGTGAAGAGCAGTAATCAGTCCTTGGCGAATACGCGCCTTCTGCACAGGCTGATTTGTGGAGGGTGAGCATCTGGAAGGGTGGGGCCCATAGGTGATGGGGGAGGTGAAGGGCCTTTGTTGTCTTATGAATGGTTATTAAGTTTCCAAGATTCAGATCCAACAGCTACCTCCACCTTGGACGTAGGAACCAGGGTCTAATAAGGGGCATCTTTGGGTTTGTCTTAAAACTCGTCCGGTTGGGCTCGGTCTGCCTGGCAGGGTGGTGTGGCGTGCCCTTTGCGGGAATGGTAGTTCCTGGTCGGAGTACCTCTGCCACCACGAGGCCCTTTCAAGAGTCCGCTGTGGACAACCTGTGTCCTTTATCAGCTTTTGTCCCCTTGCCCCAGCCCCTCCCAGCATTTAACACAGAAACTTACGCCATTAGCTTGTTTGCTATGATTGATCAGTTTGTCCCTGTGTCAAGGTGGTGTTTGCAGCTTCGGGCTCTTCGCACTTCAGGGAGCATGTGAGTGACACTCCAAGTGGTGTGACCACGGGCCAACTCTGACTTGTCCTCTGACTGTTCTCTCGTCTTATACTCAGATTTCATTCACTCACGTATTTGTAGTCAGTAGCCGAGGCCAGAACAGAGCCCAAATGAAAGGTGCCGCCTGAGAGGTGTGGGGACTCTCGTCATTGGCTACCACCGTCTCCCCCAGTGGACAGTGTTTCCCCAGGTGCCTGGGTCTCCATCTTTCATCTTGAGCCCCCAGCAGACATGCGGGCCACCGCTCCAAAAGTGGGATCAGCGGGGTGGTTCTTACTGGCTCTCAAAACCTTAAGTCAGTTAATAAAAGTCACTTGCCCTGCCATTCACATAAGGCTAGTCCCTGACACTCAGAATCATGTCACGACCATTCTTGTTTTTTGAATGTGGTCGGCCACTATTCTCATGTATTCAGGAAACACTTGTATTATGCACTGTGTTCCGTGTGACAAGCCAGCGGGATGCCGAGAGCCACGAGACGGTACCCTGCGCCCAGCACTGCCTGCACACGGTGAAAGCTCGGGCTGCGTTTGGGAACATCCACACTGTCCTCTCCCATCATTCCGTGGTCCCGCTACCTGAAGGGGCCCGGCCCCTCCTGACCAGCGACAGACGCTGTTCCCTCTGTTCTGAGGGCCCTTCTCACAATTGCTGCATCATGAGAGCTGATCGAGTGCCTCAGTCAACTGCAGGCTGCTGGAGGGACAGACTTCCCAGACGGCCTGGGGGGCAGCACCCAGCACTGGCTCTGTGAAGTAGCCATCACCCCAGCACCTGCCCTGCCCTGTGATTGGGTCCCAGGAGCTTGCCCCTCCCCCAGAACCCCACACTTGCCTTTCTCTCGCCCGTGTGTGCAATCTTCCTCAGCTACCCTCAGACTCAGGCTACCCCAATCAAGAAATTCCAGCCTTTCTTTCACTCAAACTTTGCTGTTGAACATGGAGCAGCAGCCACTAAGGTCACACTTGAGCTGGAGACAGTGGAGTCCTAGCTATTCTTTTCTCAGAGCTGAGGCCACGCTGAGGTGCATGCTCAGCAGTCAGGTTTAAGAGGATAAATCCAGATGGCTGGTTGTCAACTCCTTAAAACAGGAGTCGACTGTGTTGCTAGGGTAGCAGACAGGTGGGCTGTAGCTGGTGGTGGGGAGGCTGCCCGTGGGGGAGCAGAGAAAAGTCTTGCTGTCGCTCTGGTAGCATAATGGCAGCTGAAGTGCTAGGAAACTAGGGAACGCAAAGCCATGCCCATCAGAAAAGTGCCCTGTTTGAGTCCACCCTTGGAGCCAGGAACTGAACAGGCTCAGGCTCGTGGCTGTAAGCTGTTCCACAGCTGCAGGTGCCGACCCTCTTTCCAGTGGGAGAACATCGAGGGTGAAGCAGAGGCTTCAAGGGCTACATATCCACACCCCTTAGTACCCATCATACTCCAGGCCCAGCCAGGCTCTCGGGATGCGGTGGTGAGAAGGATGCATTTGCTCCAGCTTTTGTGCCTGGGGGCTGCTGCCTCTGGTCCCCCCTCTGAATGGACAAAAGATGAGGCTGCCTGCCTATGGAGCAGCCAAGGAGGCGGAATGCATGATGGAGCCTTCGGGCAGATTCTACTCCTTAACCCTGGGCTTCTCAACCCTGGCTGATCGAATAGAGTAGCTCGCTCTTTATTTTTTGATATACCACATTTTGGTTATTCATTCATCAGTTGATGGACATTTCGGTTGGTTCCACCTTTGGGATATTGTGAATAATCCCAAAACATTCATGTACAAGTTTTATATTGGCCCAGCTTTATATTTTCTGGAACAGTCTCATACAAGCACTTGTGTGAAGGTTTTCAATTTTCTTGGGTTATATACCTAGGAGGGGAATCGTTGAGACAATTTTTAACTTTGACGGTTATATCATGTAATCCATAACATACTCTGTAATTTTGAGTCCCAAGACAATGAATACTTATTTCCCCGAGTACAACTTGGGCTGTTCCCGGCAGGCTCGTTAGGGGCTCTCTGCCTGCTTCTCCACACTTCCTCCCTCCCCACAGGACCCTCTCTGGGCCCAGGCTCCGCAGTGTGGAGACGTGGGCTTCAGGCCTGGCCGACGGCTGCCTGAGCTTCCGCTGATTCCGCTCAGGCAGAGCTCTTGGGAAAGCACCTCAAAGGCGATGCTCCACCACCAGCCTCTGCAAGGTACGCCCCTCGGTTTCTGGCCCCCATCTCCCTCTTCCTTCTCTGTGCTCCCCTTCACTGTGTTTTTTAGGACATTTCTTTAACTGTCAAGAGCTGTCAGAATAACACACATTTCTGTCTGGGCCATCCTTCATCCTCTGCATCCACACCTGTTTTATTTTCTACCACATTCCCTTTTTTCCAAAATACTGAGATGTAAGTCACACACAATAAATGATTTTAAAATGTATAATTCAGTGATTTTTGAGCATATGTTGTCTGTGGTGCAGCCATCACCGCGATCTTATCCCACGCGTTCTCTTTGAGAGCTTGTTTTTTCCCAGCTTTCTTTGCCACTGTGACCCGCCCCCCGCCCCCCCCCGCCCCTCGGCTGAATTTCCCATGGTACAACCAGGAGAGGCTAAGTGACCACACATGATATGCTCTTTCTTCCTTATTTTTGTTACCTTTTGAGAGCAGGTGGAGATTTTAAAACTATATTGAAGCCAAGACTGAGTGGAGTCCGGCCATGGGTAACCCACCACCCTCTCCCGCCCCTGCCCAGAGGATTCCAATATGCTCTGGGGTGAGAACCCTGCCAAGCAGCAGCTTTGGCTAAAGCTGCTCCCAGCAGGAATTATGCCCGGGTTGGGGGAGAGGCACATTCACGGTTCTGAGGACGGACTGACACGTGCACGACTGCCCCCGCCCCCGACACTGCGCCGGGACGGCCCTTCTTGAGCCAGCCAGGCTCATCTCTCCAGAGAACCGAGGCCACCTTCCATCCCACCTCTGTCGCCACAGGTGATAAAACACAGACCCACCATGCAGAGGCTGAAGTGGTCTCCTGCTTAGACGCCCTCAATGGCTCCCCGGGGCCTGTGGGAAAGTGTGAGGCCCTTGGCCCGCGCGAGCACCCACCTTCCGTTTCTGCCTCAGCCCCTACCAGCCTTGTCCATTCCCCCCACCCACTACCCCCATTCCAGCTACAGTTTTCTCTAGGTCCTCTGTGCCTTCGCTGTTTCCTCCGCTTGGGTCCCCCCACCCTCCATCCCCCGCTCCATGTTACCAATCTTCCCTGTAGGGCCCTGGCCTAGTAGGGTCTTCCCCCTACTGTCGCAGAGGTCATTCCCCAGTCCCAGGGCATGGCACCTCCTTGTGGTCTAGCCTGGAACTGCACCCCCTGGAACAGCTCCCGTCTCTATGCCTCCTACAGCAACTCTTGCCTGGACATCACAGATTCATCTGGGTCTCCAGCTCCTGGCACAAAGTCTGGCACTGCCTGGGTGACGATGAATGCGAGTGAGCAGCGGGAAAGGGAGGCCGTTGCCACTGGTTTGAGAGTATTGGGGCAGTCAAGAGTCCCCATGGATGCCGTGGCTCCAGTGGGGTATCTGAAGGACCGAGGGGGCCTAAGAAATGCCTTCACAGCAGCCAGAACTTCCTTGGGCTTGGGGTAGTGAGAGAGTGCTTCAGCCCCTGCGGGCAGGGGTGAGGCGGGGTGGGGATGGGGCCAGTGGGGCACAACCCTGCCCTGCTCACACCTGCCTTCCACGGAAACACATCAGCGAGGAGCAGTGAAGTTTGTCCAAGTTCCATGACCTGCTGGTCTCAGGCCCGCTTCCCTCTCTTACCTTGGTGGTCATGGTGCCCACCTGCCCAGAGGGCAAGAGCTGAGGGTCAGAGCCCTGTGGGAGGGACGCTGATCCTCCCCATCACCAGCAAGGCCCTGTCCTGCCCTGACCCCCGGGCCCCTGCCAGAGGCTTGAGGGGGGATGAGGGTGCTGTAGCCAGTCCCCAAGGTGGCCCCAATGACCTTGGCCTCTTGGTTCTCCTGCCCTTGTGTGGTCTGCTCGTGTGTCAGATCAGCTGGGAGCACGGGGGTGATGGTGTGTGGATTCTGAGGTTGGGGGGAAATTCTGGCTTTGACCGTGGCCCTTGAATCCGGTGCTCTGAGGGAAGCCAGGCACCACACTGTGAGGACATGGAGCAGCCCTGTGGGGAGAGGGCCTGAGGCCCCCTGCCAACAGCGGCTGCGTGAATGAACCCCCTTGGACATGGATCCCTCAGTCCCAGCCAAACTTCAGATGCCTGCAGCCTCTGGCCCAGATGCCTGGGTCAGAACTGTCCAAACGGCTCCTGAATTCCCCACCCACAGACACCGGGACATGTAAACAATCATTTCAAGCTATTATGTCTGGGGAAACTCATTCCGCAGCATCCAGTAACTAATACAGCCCCTCTGGCGCTGGGGGCCGTTCCCCCAGATGCTGGGTGCTGGGCTGGAAGGCTTCTGTCTCCCTCCCCTCCCACCCCCGGCCCCGGCCTGTGTATGGGGAAAGGGAAGGGGAGAGGGGGCCCTGGCCCTGAACAAAATCACACAGCTGTCACATGACCTCATTTTTTGCCTCCATTTTAATGAACACTTTACAAAGTACAAAATATACTGTCTTTTGGGGGGAACATTAGGTACTTTTTTCTCTCCGTCATACAGTACATGAATCTCGAGGGTTTTGTTTCTTCAACAAAGTAAGTGTGAGGGGCCCGGGTGTCAGGCTGCCCAGTTCTCCTCTCACCCAGGGACAGATGGAGGCGCCACTGCTACTGCTGGTGACCTGGGGCACGCCAGGCGAGGGCTAGTTCCCCAAGGTGAGGCCCCGGGCAGGGCAGGGCAGGGCAGGGTCCGCCGGGGCCCCACTGCGCACCCAGCGTCCACTAACCCCCGTCTCAGGGTAACGGAAATGGTTTTGGCATAGAGTACGGAGAGGGCTTGGGGATTTTGTGTTAGGTGCCCCCCACCCCAGATTTGGAGCCAGCCCTGCTCAGTTCTTCCTGGACCACTTGGTCTCAGTCTTGGGACCTAAATTTGGCCAGTTTTTCATCCTGGCCCTCCCCTGACCCCTGGTCTCCAACTTGGCTGGACACTCTTCCCAGAGGAGCCCCGGTGGTGAGGGGTGCGGGCACGCACACTGCTCTCTGTGAACACCGACTTCGGGGCTGGATGCCTCTGAAGAGTCGGCCTGGCAGGACTAGCCTTCCAGGCCGGCCGTGTGGACAGAGTCCCTGCACAGGACCCCTCCGCCCCAACCGCAGAGCAGTTTTAACAAAGTCAAGCGGGCCAGGGCAGTCCTTACGGGCCTGCCACCCCTCTGCTCACCCTGACCTTGACATGTGGTGCACAGGTTAGAATGCTACCAAGACCCCAAAATACTGAGCCAGCCCCTTAGCTCAGGTTTGGACTCTGCACACGTGTGCTCTTACACTCCTGTTAACGTGTATGACACAGTACATACTCGCATATGGTGTGTAAACACAAACACGTGTGGCCGTACACAGAACAGTGTTCCGACTCCCAGGGCAGAGGCCGCCCTGTACTCCTCTCAGCCTCCCAACCCCTTGAACCGAGGGCCACACATTCCCTCACCACCCAGCTGCCCACGGGTGCCATGGGCTGGGCTGCAGGCTTCTACGGCCTCTCCCCCAGGCCACTCCTAGTGCCATCGGCCCCAAGCACAGCAGGCTGTTGCGCCCAGGAGACCCCATCTTTACCTTCCCAATACAGCAGACTTCATAGGTGTGCGCGAACATCAAAGCTGAAGGCCACGGCCCACCCCGAGGCTTTCTCCCACGGTCTATGCAAAGGTTATGAGAGGGGATTAAGGTTGTCCTTTGGCTGCCTCTAATTTGAAAATGAAAAAAAGATACATAAAAAGCTGGGGTGAGCTCTGAGATCCAGCTATACCAGGGCTAACTCCCCTCATGACAACCCGGGGCCCCTCTTCCCAAGCCGGCCCTCCGTGGGCCACCTTCCCAGGGGGCCTCCTTACATAAAGGGCTACTGCCAGCTCTAGGCCTAGCCTCTCCCTTAGGAGAGTAGCCGGGTCCTCCCCAAAGCTCCTCTCATGCCAACAGCAACCCCATTTCCCGGTGGCAGTGGCAGCAGCGGCTGGTGGCTCCCCAGCCCTGCCTTACAGCGGCACAGATCTATCGGGGGGGTTTCTCCCTACCCCCCACCCAGTGATCGCTCAGGAAGTGGCATAATAATTTCTCAGGGCTGGAGATCCCCAAGGTCTCTTCTCTTGGCTGGGGCTGGGAAGGGCCCTCATGGACCCTGCATCCAAATCCAAAGGCTCAGGAAGGCAGCCCAGGGTGACCACGGGGCTCCTGAAAGTCTGCCCAGGAAGTGGGGCCGGGGGGCTGGGGGTGGGTAGGCAGGTTCACCTTTGATTATCAGGCAAATGGTACCCTTGGCTTGAAACAGGGATCTGGCCCTTCCCAGCTCCTCAGGCTGCGAGGGCATTCTGTCACCTCAGAGCGGTCAAGCCTTGCCAGGCCACACGCTGTCTTCGGGAGGCTACGCTGGTCCCTGAGGCCAGGGTCCCTGCTAGAGTGGGGGCAGTGGGCAGCTCTAGGCCACCTGGCTCTCCGCCCACCAGGGGCCTGTGGCCTGTGAGTGGTGGGATGGAGAGGCTGCTGGTGCTCGGGGGCTGCGACCCCCGGAATCTTGGGGAGGGGAGGTCTGCACGCTTCTCCAGCTTAGGTGTGTGCCCTGGGCGGAGGGCACTGGTATGGGCGCCGCCTCTTGCGGGGCTGTGGAGACCCCTGGGGAGGAAGGAGGTGCAGAGCTGGCACTGCCCATCTTTGCGAGGTGAGGATGGGGGGGCATGCTGAGGGAGCAGGGGTTTCCTGCGAACCAGGGGGGGTCCAAGCTGAGGATGGAGCAGAGGCAGGTTTTTAGCACTGGGGATGAGGGAGAAGGGGGTGCTCACGGCACTGCCTCCCTCCCCGCTCCTTGCGCTCTCCCCACTCTGTAGTGTATGGTGTGAGGTGGGCAAGGGGCGAGGGTGGCGTTTAGACACTTTGAACCTTTCCTCCCAGGGAGTGGCACTGAAGCAGACACAGGGCTGGCCTGCTCGGCCTGAGGCCGCCTTGCCCAAGAACCTGGTCATCCTCCCCTGCTGCTCCCCCAGCCAGAGCCAGGACAGCCTCCACCCCGACAGGGCACACTCCTCTGGCCACTGCTGGTGGCCCTGGGCACGTGCTCCCTCCAAGCACAGCCTGGGGTCTGGAGACCCCCACACCCAGCAAACCTGTAGATGGGGGGCAACTGACCACTGGGAGCGCTAGGAAAAGCACTCGTTACCACCCCTCGGGTGCTGTGGAGATCAAACCATTGACTGCTGATGCCAGGTGCGCGCAGGCTTGCAGACCCGGGAGGACGCGCCGGCCCAGCCTCTGTGGGCCTCTTTGCACAGCAGGATGGGCAAAATGAAGGGCAGGGTTTCCTGGGTGGCAGCTGCCTCACCCTCTCCCTGGACACAACACCAAGGGCGTACACAGAATCTTTTTTTAGACGGGGCCAGCCCCCAGGACACCTGGGGAAAGAGCCCGAGGTCTCTAAGTTTGCAGGTGAAAAAAATCAGGTAAGTCGCCAGCATAAAAACAGCCATGCAAGGGGAGCGATCTGGATGGAGACTCGGGTGACCGTCCAGCCGGCCTGGGTCTTCAGGCCGGGAGCACTGCGAAGGGGACTGGTGTGTTCGAAAGCAAGAGGTTCCAACTCCTCCCCTCCCTGCTCTACCGTTTTCCAAATATGAGCTTGTCAGGGGTCTTGGCTGTGGAGGTGGGGGTGCAGGAAGGAGCTGAATCCAGCTCTCCAGGGAGACTGGGGAGAAGGGAGAGGGACGCTCGATACCCCCCGACCTGGCGCTCAGCTCCTGGGCTGCTGGTTTTGTTTTTCTCTCATGTCAGGGCTGAGGCAACCGGCCGGCTTCTCTCAGAGTTGTATTGCCTATATACTTGATTTAAAAATATATGGTGGCTCAAACGTGCCTGTGTGCACGGCAGACACGGCGGGCGAGACCCTCACGCCCACACACACACGCGCACACACACAGTGGGGTCTGCGTCCACATACCGCACACATGTGTGTGCGTGCCCACACGGTATATATTAACATATATATTGCTCAAGTATATATGCTATTTACAGTATATATCTATATCAACATAAAACACAGGTATTTATATGTGTGTACAATAGATACGCCCTAGGGGCCTGGGGAGCACGCACTTTTGGGGTCACGGGGCCTACACGCTTGCTCAGGAGGGAGAAAAAGCCAAGTAACAGGATTCGGGGCCGACAGGAAGGGGCCTGGGGAGGCGCGCCACAGAAAACCGAGGCCTTCCAAGGACAGAACGGGGGGGGGGGGCCCAGGGCTTCACGCGTTGCCCTGCCCGCTTGGCCACCTCCATTTTGGAACCAGCAAACAATGTACACGTTTTGGTTGTTAACGGAGTTTTGTGCAAAATGAATGAACTTAAAAACAAAAACCAAAACCACCCACGGGTTCCTAATCAGTGTGGGGGCCCTGGGATCCACCAGGGCCCAGACGGACAGTTCCTAAACCGGGGGCTTCCAGCACAGGGTCCCACACGGGCATCCACCGGACCAGAACCCCCCTTCTCCTCCGGGCCTCCCGGGCAGCGCACGTCGGCTGATGCCCCAGGAGGAGCCCAGGAAGGGCAGGGGCCACAGCGGGCCCTGTGTGCTTCAAAGGCTCCCGGGGAGGAGGCACAGGACTCACCCCATTCTCTCTGAAGACCGTCTAGGGGGACAAGCCGCCTCAGCCGGCCTGCCACCCAGCTGTCCACCTCCCTGTGGCCCTTAGGTCCCCTCTGATGCTCAGAACCACAGCTGCCTGGGCGCCTGTCATTAGGCCTGGCTGGGCCGCCCTGTGTGGGGCGCCCTGGGGCCCATCTAGTAACAGACCTCTGCTCCCAGTGTCCTGCTCCGCAGAGAGGGCCAAGGCCTCCAGTCCTCACACTTGTCCTCGGAGCCACAGGGCCCCAGCCAAGTGATGCTGGGCCTCTGGGCCCCGACAGGACGCGGAAGACGGGCCCTGTATCTTGAAATGGCTGCTGACCACAGCCTGGGCGCAAATACATTAAATAAGAAACTAAAGCAAAGTACGGTTTTCTCTATTAAGGCTCAGATAAGCTGCCTCCCAGATCAAGTACTCATGAGTGCCACAGTCCCCGGACTGAGGGGCGGGCAGGCAGGGGAGTTGGGGGCAGAGGCCTTCTATGTCCCCCAAAGTGGGGCAAGGGAGGGGACAGGATGACAGGGGAGCCCTGTGCTGGCCTAGTCAACTGTTAGGGAGGTGAGGGTGACCTAAGGAACCCTAGGCCCGGAAGGCAGGCAGTACCCCCACTTGGGAGAGACTGAGGCTATGCCTGCCTGAGTCAGGTCCAGGGAAAGCAGAGGGGACAGGAGCGTGTGCCCTACGCTGGTGGGTCTCCTGGGATCTGCCCTCCCAGGAGTGAGCTTGTGGTGGGGAGGGTCTGGGCAGGGCCCTGCTGGCAGTCTCGCTGGGAGTTGGGGCACAGGCCCTGTGGTTGGCAGGCGAGGTTCTGCGGGGGGTGGGGGTGGGGGGGGGGGGCTCGGGTCTTCCCCAGCTTGGCGCCCCACCAGCACATGTCCCGAGGGCCACCCACCAGCCTCCACTCCGGGAACCAGCCCCGAGCTGATGGAACCAGAGACCAGCAACCACAGTATCCAGCTCCCCGCCCTCATGGGGGCCTCCCCAGGCTCCACGAACTCAGCCCTGCTTGGCCTGTCCCCCAAGAAAACATGGGAACTGGAACCCCGGTGTCTTGCAGGAGGCGCCGGCTTACTTCGGAGTCTGCCCCCGACTGTGGGTGAGGCCCGGTGAGGAGGTGGGTCAGCTCATAAGCTCCCTGGGCCTCAGACCTCATTTTCTGGAGTTGGGGGTGGGGGACGAGATGAGGGTGCACTCGGGAGGGTCTGGGGGCTCTGGGAAGGCAGGAGGGCTTCGGGAGGTCCTGGCTTGGGCTCCAGGCCGGGCAAAGTCAGCAAATGGGGATGTCTCTGTGGCCCTTTCTTTGGGGGACCTAGGGACGGTTTTCCAGTCTGTTGAGAAATACTGCAAGAAGAATCTTCAGGTGGGGGCCGGGCCCAGGGCTGGGCGTGGACAGGGCGGAGAGAGACACCCTTCTAATGCTTCTCTGCTTGGCTGACTTTCAGGGCGCTGATGACGCCGTTGATGTTTTCTTCTGGTACCTGCAAAGGGCAGGAGGCAGCAAACCCATGAGCCCCTGGAACAGGCTGTCCTGTGCCAGGGGGCCGGGCCAGACACTCACCAGTGCGTGGTCGAACTTGAAAGTACTGATGTAGTAGGCGGGGATGTCTGCAGCGGCCAAGGGCTCGGAGATCTGGGCCACGATGCCACACTCATCTGCGGACAGAGGAGCGGACCGTGCTCAGCCTCCATGTGGCATCATTGCCCAGGACGCTGGCCAGCGCCCCCTGGGCCCTCCTTGCTTCTCAGCCTTTCCCGTCCCGCTGCCAGCAGCGCCTGTCCTGCACCCAGGCTTCCCCGAGAATTCTCACCCCTGCCCCTGGAGGCCTAGTGCAAAGGCTGCTCTACCCATGAGCCTTCTCCGATTCCCTTGGCCAGCAGTGAGCTCTTCAGGCTTAGGGCTCCCCCCGGTTCTAACTTTGGTTACCCTCTGCCTATCTCCATGCCCCGTAGCCCTATTTCATCTTCCCTGCCATCTTTCGAGTTCTCCAATACAGAGCCGGAGGCGGTGTGGGCAACAGGCTCATGGGGTCAGGCCCTCTTTTCTGTCACTGACTTTCTTCTAGACAAATGGCTATGGCCAAGTCACTTCCTCTCTCTGAGCCTCAGTTTCCTCATCAGAGCCCCCATGGGGTGATGGCCCCTGCCTGTCCTAATGGCAGGCTCAGGCGTTTGGTTGGGGCTGGGATGTGACTTCCTATCCCCTCTAACATTTGAAGCAGCGGTCTGTGGTGCTTTCTGGTCTCCCAGCCCCTCATCTGACAAGGTAACCTCGGCGTTGCCTGGGGCTGGTCTTATCCTTAACTGCAGCTTCCTCCTTGATTTAAATGTTCCACTCAAGGCTTCCTCCTACAGAAAGACCACCTGGACTACTCTTGAACAAAAACCCATGTGTTTTCCTAAAAGCCACTGTTTTGATTTTGATGATGACGCAGTTCCCCAAAGCTGTCCCCGCTGACTACAGGTGAGGGGGAGGGGGGGTGGAGAGTCTGAGTCCAGCTCTCATGAAATTCTGGGGCTGAAACCTGGGAATTAACCTGGGTTTCACCCCCATGGTCACCACACTCAGCATCCCCTCTGACCTCCCACTCCCTGGCCCCGGTTTTGGTTGTTGGCCCACCCCAGGGACTTGTGCAGTGACCGTGTAGGGCCTCGCAAGCCCCTGCTTTTCCCTTGGTCTGCTGGGGGCTCCTAGCTGGACCCAGAGGCCCCTTTGGTGGCTGTGCAGGCCTCCTGCCTACACTCCTGGGAACTGTCTCATGCGTCTATGTGATGGAGACTGGGTGCGACCCGCGACAGCTTCAGCTACGGACACAAGTATTCCTGTGAAAGGGGGAGAGGGGATTAGGGTCTAGAATGGTGCATTTCAAACTGCAGGTTGTGGCCCATTTGTGACAATGATTTAGAAGGCCGGTGACCAGTGTTTTATAAAATGACACCATGGAAAAGGAAAGGTCAGACGACACAACGTGTGGCTAGATGAGAGCAGTTTTGTGAAACTGTAGTTCGAGTGGTTTGCGGGTGTGTGTGCTGGGTTATGATGTAAAATATATTTACTCCAACCGTGGTCAAACACATAGGGGACCTGCGCGTCTAGCACCTGTCAGAGTCTAAGTTGTTTTCCTTGCAGGCCTCTTTACAGCCAGAAGCACGGCTCTAAGACCCTGTCCCTCCTCGGGAGGCAGGTCCTGCTGGTGCCTGCCCGGCTCACATGGGTGCCTCACACGTCCCTTTCCCTGTCACTACCCACGAGGACAAGCAAACTCTCTGACAGCAACATGCAGATGTCTGCCAACACAGGGGCCGTTGTTTCCTTTACTATCCCGCCTTTATTTCTCCTTCATCCGGACTTTTTGGTTAATATCATTATACTGAGTGTACTTTGGTCAACTCAGAAGCAGAGCTGGAGAGAAAAAGATGAGCAGGTGTATGTCTTCCTGTCTCTTCCAGTGTCTCCTCCTGGCTGCTCCCCTCACCTGCTGAAGCTCGGCAGGAAGAAGTGGTGGCAGACCCCTTGGCCTGGCATCAGGACCCTGACCCTTTACCTGGGATGACCCGGCAAGTTTCTTCTCCCACCTTTTCTACCCCTGGACTCTGTCCCCGGGGCCCAGCAGCCTGGGGGACGTGCAGGGGAGCTGCGCCTCACTGCCACCCTGCCCGACAGCCCAGTGACTACCCACCAGGCAGCTCCAGAGCCACCTCCTCCCAGGAGCCTTCCCTTTCTGAACCTTCTCCAAGCCACCTGGTCCCTATGTGACAGTGACAGCAACTGCTGCTTGCTGAGCACACGGTGTCCCTGACACCTCCCGCAGTACTCAGAACCACTGTGACGCAGTGTCTATCTTCATCCTCATTGTACAGATAAGGAAACTGAGGCTCAGGGGTTAAGCAACACACCCTGCCCACATCTGCTGCCTTCCTCGGGCAGGAGGAACGCTGGGGTTGGAGCGAGAGGCAGCCAGAGAGATAGGCGGGGCCCAGGGTCAGACTAGGAGCTGTCGGTGTACATTTCCTGGCCCCCGAGAGAGCCGTGCCATGTCCTGCCCCCAGGATGGCTCTGGCTTCGGCCTTGACGTGAGCAGAGTTCAGGGACACTGTCCGGTCCTGCAGGTTGCCATCCATCTGCGAGCTCGTGAGAAAGGCGGAGGTAGGTGGCAGAAGCTGGCTCCCTCACAGCCCATTGCCCCCAGGTCAAAATGCGCCACCACCTTCACGTCCTGTCCCAGGAGCAAAGCCCGCAGGGGTGACCTGATGGCCCCTGGGGCAGCCTGAGTGTCACTGGAGACGTCCTGCACCCTGTCTGTGAGAAATCAGGGTGTGCTGGACCCGTGGGGCTTGCCAAGGATGCTCCCTGGAAATGACCACTCTGTGATGTGCCAAGGGCACCTTCTGGGCTCCTGCTCTCGGGTCTTACCGTCTAGCCTAAGAAAATCATTTCTAATCAAGACAGAGCTCTACTTCCAGGCCCCCCTCAGTCGCTCCCAGCGGAGCCCGCTGCCTGCACCCAGCGCTGGCAAAGTGGGTGTCGCATGGCCCTTCTAACCCAGGGGTCTGAGGCCCAGGACCCCACAGAAAATGCTTATGGAAAAAGCTATCTACCAAAGGTCCTGTATGGAGAACTGTAGAAACTGGCCCTAGGCCAAGCCTTAGGGAGTTACTGTGGATCTCCTCCTGTGGGATCAGGTCACTGTGGTTTTGGGGGAGGAAGTGCCTCTTCCCAGAACAGAAAAGATGAGGCACTGGGATGTCTGAGACTTACCACGAGATGGCCAGTAAAACTTATTCACGGGAAGGGAACAGCCATGACTTGTGAGCAGTGGGACTAAGGAGTGGTTTTATTTCCCTCTTCAATTGTTACCATGTCCCCAGTGTTCTAGTAACAAGCAGGCATTACTTTTCTAGTGGGAGAAATAGGAGGGCTCTGGTTGAAGCCACTCCTCCTGTCCTCCAGGGGCCTGTGCCTCCTGTCACTCACTGGTCCGGGACCTCAGGCTCCCCATCTGCACCACAGGGTACGACGCATAGGCAGACTGACTCCGGCTGCCGCGAGTGCCCCGGCATTCGGAGGCACGCGGCACCCCCAGCGCCCCCCCGAGCCCCACTGTTGAACCCCACAGGGCTTACCAAATCCCAGGGGCTGCCCTCCAATCCGCACCATCTTCCAGAGCTCTCCAGACGCGCTTGTGAACAACAGATTACTAGGAAACCTTGAAAGGGAGTGAGAGAAAAACCCCCGAGAGTTGATGTAGATGGTGCTCCCTGGCCAGCCCTCCACGGGCCCTTCCCTGCCGGCGGGGCTCCACCTGCCACAGGACAGGCCTGAGGACCCCGGCCGAGCCCTTGACCCACTCGCTCTACACCCTCCTCGACTGGCGGGTAGGGGGACAGGAAGACAAGGCTGGGTGTGGCTGTGGCTATGGAACAGCACAGGGGGCTGAGGGACAAACAGCACATGGATGACCCGGGGCCAGCTCACCAGCAACAAAGGGTTGTGGTGAGGACCTATAAGGGACAAAGTGGGTGCTGCACCCATCAAGGAGCCTAGCCCACCCTGTGTCAACCTCCCCGCTGTGGCCCGGCTCACCTCTGCTGGGTCTGCACGTCCATCACCAGGGAGATGTAGCCCTCGATGAGGGAGAAGGAGAAGAAGCGGATGTGGCCACAGTCATCACTGGCAGCCATGGGGTCCTTCACGCTGGGGGCAGGTGTGCGGGTGAGGGGGGGAGTGGAGGGCCCACCGCACCCCGACCCCTGCCTGGCTCTCCGGCGTTGCCCGCTGGCCTCAGCCTGAGGCATCGGGAAGAGCCCTGGCCTGGGAGAGCAGGGCCAGGTCCCAGCCCCTCCCCTGCCTTGCTGGGTGACCCTGAGCCAGTGTCATCCCCGTGGTAGCACCTATGAGATGCACACGCTTCCACGGCATTCACGGAGGCGAGCGCAGCGCTTCCCGCTGCGGAGACGCAGCCGGCCCCCAGGGAAGGCGATGCTTGCCCCTTCCCAGGCAGGGTTTCTCTGTCCTTGTGTTGGCCCACGTCTCAGTACAACCTGTGGTCACTGCCAGCTCCCTGGAACCTGCACCCACCCGACCCGGTACTGGCCTCAATTTAAAGTGTGTTCTGAGAAAAAATGCAAAGCCTGTCATCCTCCGAATGAAAAAACTCGAGTCCCTAGCTCCTCAGGGACTGGGCTTGCCCTTGGAGCTCAGGAAACAGTGGGCTGTTGTCACATCTACATGTCCCCCTTCTCAGAATGGTGCTTTTGGGTAGAGCCATGTCTCCAGCTCCTAGAAGCACCAAGGGTGCATCTGTCTCCCCCTTCAGACTAGCACCCAGGGCAGGTCTGCCTCCCCCGAGACTGGGGCTCCTGGGCACAGCTACGTCTCCTCTCAGCCCACCCTGCGGCCCTCACACCCAAGGGGGCCCTACCCGTTGGAGTAGAACATGACGTCCATGAGGAGTGTGGCAACAGTGGGCAGCGTGTCGGGGTCCAGGCTGGTGACACAGAACCTGTTGCTGGGGCTGGACAGTGGGTGGATGACAGGCCTCTGGACTGTGAGAGCACAAAGACAAGGGGCGCCGAGGCCGGTAAGGGAGCAGCAGCGGGGGCGGGTGGAGGCCGGGACAGGGGTGGGGCCCGCCGGTAGGCGCTCTGGGGAGGGCTGGCCACAGGCCGTGTGAGACCTGCCCTGCCATTTCTTTAGGCTCCACCACCGTCCTCCGCTCTTCTGCTCCTCCAGGCTCCCCCGGGCCCTGGGCCTTTGTACAGGCTGTGTTATGTGCCTGAGATGCTCTTCCCAACCTTCACCCTCTGGCTTAGCTCCCACCTGTGTCCCAGCAGCTCGAGAGTCAGCACCCCGGGGAGGTCCGCCCTGACACCGGGGCCCAGGCTGGGAGCGGCCTCTGGTCACCGCTGGTTGCGTCTACGTCCACCACCCTTCCTAGACCTCGGGAGCGGGGTCTGACCAGGACTCTGAACTGTGTTATGCCTGGTGTTCAACTGATGCTGTGAGAATGGGATGGTCTAGGGCAGGACCTGGTAACGTCTTCTTTTTTCAAAATTGAATTTGTTGGGCTGATCTTGGTTAATAAAATTATACAGGTTTCAAGTGTACGATTGTATAACACATCATCTGTCTGTCGCATCGTGCTTTCACCACCCAAGGTCGAGTCTCCTTCTGCCATTTATTCCCCCTTTGTCCCCCCCCCCGCCCCCCGCCCCCCGGCTCCCCTTTACCCCTGCAGTCACCACACTGCTGTTTGTGTCTGTTTTCTTTCTTAATCCCTTCACCTTTTTCACCCAGTCCCCCTCCGGACAGCTGTCAGTTTCCTGTACCTACGAGTCTGTTTCTCCTTTGTTAGTTTATTTTGTTCCTTAGAGTCCATATGTAAGTGAAATCATATGGTACTTGTCTCTCTCTGACTGGCCTATTTCAAGGACCTGGCAACGTCCTGAGGCCTCCCTGACCAGAGCCGCACTCACCCATCTTGGGCTTCACAAAGCCATTGGTGATGCCCAGGTTCTCCGCTGCCACTGTCTCGCCATTGACGACCCGCAGAATGGTGAACTCGGATGACAGGGTGTGGGTGACAAAGGGCAGGTCCCGCTCACGTACCTGGGGACGGGGAGTCGAGGACATGAGTGTCCTGTGGTCCCTGGATCAAGCAGGCCTGGGGCAGTGACCCTTTCACTCTGAGAGTTTGCCCCAGAACCTGCTTCCCCATCCTTGCCTCCTGCCGCCAGGTGAGGGCCGGGAGCCTGGGACCGGGGCACGCCTCCCCAAGGGCAGCAGGAACGACGTGGGGGGGAGAAGACGCCACACCGAGGGCTAGCAGGTGCACGTCTGTCCCCCACCCCACCCTCGTTGAATGCTGTGCCCAGACCTGTCCGCCCCTCCTTCCCCAGGCCCGTTTTCCTGAGGGTGGCCGTGCCCCAAGGGAGAAGGAATGAATGACATGGTGGCCAGGACCTGGTGCTGGCCCCATGACCACACATACTTGCCATCCCAGGGGAGGGGCAGGGGAGTGGGGAGACCCATGTCCAGCTGGGAGGGTATCCCACCCACACGTGTGCCCCCCACATCTCAATTCCTGGCCTCCAGGCAAAACCCAGTGTGGCTCGCACGGCAGGCAGGTGGTGGGGGCGGTGGGGCAGAGGCCTAGAGCCTGGGTCATGCTAACACTTGGCGGCTGACCCTGAGGGCCCCCTGCCCTCTCAGAGCTGACCGGAGAACGGGGACCACAGAACTTCGCAGACAGGAGCCTGCAGGGGCTGCCCGGGCTGCCCGAGGCCGGGGGCGGGGCGCCGCAGTTACCAGGATGAAGTCCGTCTGGTAGGTGGAGAGCATGAACACGGAGATGTTCTGGTCGGCCAGCGGGGCGATCACCGACTTGGCGATTTTGGTCACCCCGATGGGCTGGGAGCTGGAAAAGCTGCCGCCACCCGACACTACATTGAGGGCCAGCCAGGTGGCATCTGCCACACTCAGATGCTCCGAGGAGGGTAGTTCTGGAGGGGGACACAGAAGGCAGGCCTGTGACTGATGGGCCCCAGGTCTCCAAGGCAGAGAACGTTGCAGAGGCGGGGGCTGAGCCCTGGGGCCGCTTGAGTGACCTCGGCCAGACCCGCTCTGCGGGCCTGAGCGCCCTCGGATGTCAGAGGGGGATGGGATCGGCATTGGAGGGTCTGTCGTGGGAGGACGGAGCTGGGAAGGCCCTTAGAGGACTTCGGGCACAGGAGTCGGCCCAGTAGGTTGGGAAATATATAGGGACATGTGGTCTACCTATGTTGGGCCTCAGTTTCCTCAACTGTGAAATGATGAACACTCAGCAACCAGCAATGATTGATTATTTTTAGACCTCTCTACCCTCTGGGTGGCAGCTGCTGCCATCACCCCCTCACACCAGTGGAACGGGTTCCGTGGTTTTCAAACTGGGTTCCCAGGAACCTCCCAGGAGGCTGGGGGTGGGGGGGAGGCCAGGAGGAGACAGGACGGGGTCCCTGGACTTGCTCCCTGCTTCAATCACACCTGCCTATTGGGCTTCTCTGGAAGAACACACAGCTCCAGGAGGGCTGCGGAGGATGTTGCCGCCAGGTGTGTGGGGACTGTCGTCCAAGTCTCTCCTGAGAGCCTGGAAGTCCTGGGGGGTTGGCAGGGGCGGGGTGGGGGAGGTTCAGAGCAATAGCAATTGCTGGGTCTCCCTGACTAGCTCACAAAGACCTGGATTCCGTATGTTGGGACCATCCATCCCTTTTGCCCCACCCTGCGGAGAGCCCCCAGAGAAGCCTATACACAGATTGTGGGGACACACGTGTCTCCACAAACATGCAGCCACAGAGCTGAGCACAGGACTCTTTACATATCATAGGCACCTGCCTGAACCTACTCCACACAGGGACTGCTATTTCCACTGTAGACACCCCAAACCTGAGCTCTGAGAGGGCAGCGATTTGCTCAAATCACTTAGGGAAGAACAGTGCCTGGATTCAAACCCAGGTCTGACACCCTCAAGCTCTGCCCTGGGCATCAAATGGGAAGAAGGGTCAGGTCCCCAGGAAGAACAGGGGCTAAGAAGAGGGGCCCGCACACAGATGATGATGATGGTGGTGATGATGATGATGATAATTCCCCAGGGAAGGCTGTGTTGGCCTCAGGCAAGATGGCTTCCAAGGAGCGGACACTGAGTGAGGCCCCACCAGGCTTCTACCTGCCTGGCTTTGGTCGTCATGGTGACCACAGCCTAGCAAGCCCATTGGTCCTGCTGGCTGAAAAGGGCCAGTCCTTGGCCAGGCTGGCTGGAGAGGCAGGCAGCTTCCCAGGAAAGGGAAAATGTTTGGGAGGGAGAGCAGGAGAAAACGCTTTAAAAGGGTAGCTGTGTCTACCTCAGGTAGCTGTGTCTAGTTTCTCTACTCATCACCCGAGGTGTCAGAAAAGAGATTTCTCAGCCCCAGGACCGTCAGAGCAAACATGTTCTGCAGAACCGGAGGTTCAGCTCAATTCTGCAGTTCTCATAATTCCACCTTTGGCTCTCAGCCCCCCTGGGTAGAAGCTCCCGAGTTTCTTTAAGTGGCAGGCTGGACTGAGAGGGCAGTCAGCTACGGACTAGCGGTCACCCCTCCAAGGCTTCCAGAACAGTGAGCTTTGTCAGAGTGGCAAAAGCAGCTAGCGACCACAGCGTTTGCTGCTTCCAGCCCCAAGGACCCCAAATGCTGCCCCGGCATTCTGGGGGAGAAGGAAGGGCCTCATCCTCACCCTGGGCCAAGCCTCGGGTGTCCAAGGTGCTGCTTTGGGGCCCGGGGGATGAGCCGCTAGGAGGCGGCAAGCTGGCTCTTTCCAACAGGGAAAGTGGACCCATTCCAAGACAGAAATGGGTTATATTTGTCACTGCCCATTGTTCAAGACCCTAAAAATAGCTTCTTGGAGCTGAGGACGCCCCCTGGTAGAGGAGGTACCAGTGTCTCGCCACACTCCCTGTCACGAAGTTGGGCGACTCTGTTGCTGAGTGCAGCCCCCACATGCCCAGGAGTCCCGGGTTCTGGCCGCAGGACCTGTGGTTCCCTGTGCTGCGCGGCCCCACAGAGCCCGTGTGGCTCGGGCTCCTCCCCCACCACCCTGCCTGCAGCACTAATGTCCTGGGCCGGGGTGTTTAACCCTGACTCTGTGACCTTGGGGCCCCGGTTTTTTTAGTTTTCAAATGTGGGATGATGAAATCAGGATCCACTGGGGAAGAACTTGAAGGATTAAATGAGATAATCCCCGCCGAGTGCTTGGCTGAGGGCCTGGCACCCAGCCAAGTGCTCATCAAATGCCAGAGCCTTTCTGCTATTACGCTGCTGGTGGAGGCCTTGCTGGTTCTGGATGGCAGTGGGGTAAAATGTATCAAGAGTTTAACAAATGTTCAACCTTACTGTAAAGGAGTACAGCTGACCCTTGAACGATGTGGGTTTGAACTGCACGGGTCCACTGAAGTGCTTTGTACGCCACGTGCGTGCCTTATAGAACTGAGAAGGAGGGAGGTGACTGTGTTTGGGATGAGGCCGCTGAGCCGCTTGCCAAGAAAAATAAGCAGTGAGTAGCAGGGTGAGATCTGAATTTGGATCTTCCTCCTTCTACCTTTTGGCCAGTCGTGGCCTAAGGAGGGTGTCCTGCCCCCGTGTGGTACAGGTGCCACTGAAGCGGGCAAGGGGACCATGATGGGTGGGGGCCAGTGGAGGGGTCCTGATCAGCACTGTGTCCCGCTTAACTGCAAACCTAAGACGCTGCCCACCACCCGGCGGTCAGGACAGGGGCTGCCCCTCGTATTATTTTGGTCCCTGAGAGCATCGAGCATTGCACATAGTAAGTGCTCATTAAATGTGTAAAAGATCAAATGACACACATACACAGAAACCCCTTCCATTTGCCACGAAGACACATAGCATCCCCTTGCGCCAAGAACATCTAAAATTCCACATGAAACAAGAGAGCTGTCTGGTTAATGTCACTGACAATTGTCCCACCCTCCCAGGAAAGGCTCCGCATTTTATGTACATGTGAATCACGGAGAGCTGCTAGTTCCTAACCAAGAAAGCCTCATGCTGACAACAAGGCCAGCGAATAATGAAGGCACCCTGGCCAAGGGAGGCCCCTGGGTGAGAAGCAGTGTTTGCAGAACTGGGAGACAGGGCACCGTCCTTCACACAACCAGCGCCCCTCCCTGCCCCACCGGGGCAGCCACAGACCAAACTCCCTTTCTGAAGAGGAGCCTCCTAAGAGAAAACGCCCAGAGGCGAGAGGCTGGAACTCAGTAGCCCCCACCCCAAATCCTGCTCGCTGTGGGCCTTCCCAAACTACCCTGGCCACACACTGGCCCGCCCTCTTGCTCAGCTACTCCTGACCTTGGTCTGTGGGGAAACACCACAGCATTTCCTGCTTCAAATGGACCCCTATCCCTAAGGGACTCTGAGCACCTAATGTCAGCCTTCCCTCTTAGAAAACGGGTCTTTACTCTTTACCCTCAGGCCACAGGAATGACCCCAGGAGGTGATGCACCTCTGCAGCTGGGTATAGGTGTGTCTTATTTTGTATACTTTTCCCGGTAGCTCTACAACAGGCGTATGAGAGATACGGCTTTAAATGCACACAATTTTTTCTTGGGCAACAAGAGCTATCCCAGCATCCCGCTTTGCTAGCCTGGAAGGGAGGCATTACAGAGCCCCCAGGCTCCTGGGGGCAGATGTGGTGTCTTTCAATTCCAGCCACATCTCCAGGGCCTAGCCAGATGCCGGCACATCCCAGGTCCTCAGGAAATTCTGCCTCCTGCAACCCCAGGGGCTGGCTCAGACGACCAGCCCCTCCTCTGTGGGACCTCTCCTTGGCTAGTGACAATTCCTGCACATATGGGCTTCCAGGGCCTGCGGAACTGGCTTATCAGGTCCCACGGCCGCCCTCTCTCCTTGCTCTTGCTGTTCTCTCGTTTGCTGCCTTGAGACGTTAGTAGAGGTTTTAGTCTCCTCTGGGGAGGAGGTTTAGTTAGAATATCTATTCCCAGAGAACAGACACTCTGGAGCGTCCATTCTACGTCTGAGATGCCATGATTCTCAATAGCTCTGCATCAGAGGCACGAGTGCCCATAAGAAAGTGAAAAAGGTGTTTGGGTTTACTGAGCATATGGTTTTCATGTATCTGTGGTTCCTGTACTCAGAAAACGTCTGCTGCATAAATAAATGAATGAGTGACTACAGGGGCGCCTCCTATCCCTGCTCTGGCCACCCAGAGGCCCCTGGGAGACAGGGAAGGACACTGTGTCCCTGAGATGTGGAGGCTGGGCCCACCCCACACACTGGCTTGGTGCCCTGGAGCGCCTGCAGGTAAGGATGACCGAACAGAGGCCGAGAAATCGCTTCTCCGGGGGTTTCAACATGAATCGGGATCTGTAAAACAGTCACCTTCTGACCTGTATGCCATTTCTCAGACCCCATTTTAGGAATCAACCTGAATAAGAACAACAGTTACACATTTAAAGAGTTTATACATTTATCATTGGAGAAAAACTAAAGCAACTTTAATTCTGACCTTAGAGCACTGGGCAAGGAAGTGGGGCTGCTGTGAAAGACCGTGCTATCACAGGGACTTTTAAGCTGTAATGTTAAGTGAAGCCATTTCTATCTCTACCATGCTTATAAGTAAATTAAAAAGAGACATCCCATGCACGGGGAAAAAGTTGGAAAGGAAACACTAAAAAGTTACTAGTTGTCTTTGGGGTGGGGCTGTTTCTTAATCGTGTTGAATCCGAGTGTTTTGAAGAACGCAGTGCAGACAGCAGAGTTGGGGGGTGCCGCGCGTGCGCATGAGCCCGGGCCTGCGACGGCCCTCCTGTTCCAGCCACTCGTGGGCGCACCGCCTCCCCAGGAATTAACGTGTGTCGGTCAGCGCGAGTGAATGCCGCCCGTTGTTATTTTAGAGTAGGACAAACATAGAAACTTTAATAATAAAACTATGAGAATGTGGGGAGAGGGGAGAATGACTGCTAACAGGCAATGGGGTTCTTTTGGGCGGTGATAAAAGCATTCTGGGATGGAGTGCTCACGGCTGCGTAGCCTTGTGGATGTTGAAAACCACTGAACTGCGGGATATTTTCCAATGGTGAACTTTATGGTATGTATATTACATCTCAATTTAAAAAATGGAAAAAATGTAGAAGAAAATCATGAAGGACAGTAATCGGGGCTTGCTTCCATGGGAATAAGGACTGAGGACAATTTAAGGCACCTCACTCACAACAGGCGCTCAGTGAAACGTGTCTCTTCCTTCTCGGCTGCTTTAGTTCTTGGCTAAGTAAGCTTTGTGTCTCGTCGACCCTTTTAGCTGTGAGGCCTTTCTGGGGCAGAGAGAAGGAGGGGTGATCAGCCAGGACACAGGGAGAGAAGACTCTCTGCTGACTTCTTACCCCACCAGCAGGTGGGGGCAGAAATGAGGGGGAGGCAGCCAGCGCTGAGGATGGCACTAGGCAGCCACGTCCCAGAGAGAAGCACTCACCCAGGAAGCCCTCCTCATCAACGATGATGGTATAATCCTCCGGTGTCTCAGTCAGACTGAAGAACTTGCACCTGCGTGGATGGACAGACACAGGATATCGTGTTAGTTCTGCATTAGTCCTGGCAGGACACTGGTGACCCAGCAGATGACTCTTTACCCAGAACTCGGTCCCCAGGCTGCTGGTGACCTCTGGTAAGCTGCTGATCTCTCCCTCCCCTCCCTCCCAGTTCTGACTCTCAGGGGGTCTCAGAGAGCCCTAGAGATGGTGATCATCCACTCTGCACCCCCCAATCTTCGGGGACCTGAGAGTCAGCCAGACTCTAGGATCCATATAAATCTGTGGGTCTCAGATCCCACTTTTTCAGGGAGGAAGTGGCTGAAGGGCAGCCCTGGCAGGGGTCATGCAAACGAACCGTCTTTCCCACGGGCCCCTCGCATTCGGACCTCCAGGCCTCCGTCACTGCCGCCTGCCGCACCACCCTGGCCCTCTCCTCACCACCTGGAGGGCTCCCACTGTCATTTAGGGCCTAATTCACATCACCCAACGGACAGCCCAGCATTCAGGCACTTGTCTTCCTTGCACAGGAGGGTGTGTGGCCATCTCTGTGGTTTTGGGGTACAGATCCCTGAACTGCCACGCGTTGCCTTTGGTAATACTGCTTAGCCTGGGGATGTCTGATGCTCATTCCCCCCACAAAGACCACCAATTTCCCGAGGTCAGGGACTGGCAATCACTGTCCCTCTTTACCTTGTCCCTGCTGGGCTTGGTTCTACACACACTCCTGGTGCCTGGCAGACACATCACCCTGCAGTGCCTGTCCCTGTCCTCCCCTCAGCCAAAGGACCCCCTAACACTCTCGGTGCAGCGGCAGGGAGAGACGGTGTGCACGAGGTGCAGGACGCAGGCAACGCGGGCACTGACCCTGCCTCACAGCTCGCAAGCGTGAGGCCCAGCGTGGGCTCCACGTCCAGTGTGTAAAACTCATCTGTCACGGGGACTGTAACAGAAAGAGGCCCTATGAGTAACCCCAGCAAGGGCCTGAATATCACCTCTACAAAGCTTAAAGTGGAAAAGGAATCTCGACAGGGATGCAGTGGTGCAGGGGACTGGGTGGCCGGAGGAACCATGGACCTCTCTCCTCCGGGACCCCTGTCCAGTCAGATGCCCTGCAAAACTGAGCCTTATCAACAGAACTGCTGCAGCACCCTTGAACTTTATTCTTTCAATTTTTCAAAAGGAATGAGAGCAACTGGAATTGGTAGGAATGCAAAATGATACAGCCTTTTGGAAAACAGTTTGGCAGTTTCTTACAAAGTTAAACACACACTGACCACACGAGTCAGCAATCCCACTCCTGGGTATTTACCCAAGAGAATGAAAACATATGCGCACACAGACCTGTATGCAATGGTTTACAGCCTTTATTTGTAATTGCCCCAAAATGGAAACAACCCAAGTGTCCTCCCTTCAACTAGAGAATCGGATGAACTGCGGCACGTCCACACCATGGGGTAATGGTTGGCAACAAAGAGAAATGAATTACTGATTTGTGCAATAATGTGGGTGAATCACAAATGCATTTTACTAAGTTAAAGCCAGGCTCAAAAGGTTTGAATACTGTATGATTCCATTCACGTGACATTTGGAAGAAGCAAAACTCTAAGGAGAGAGGACAAATTTGTGGTTGCCAGAGGCTGGGTGGGGGTTGACTTTAGAGGGGGCCTGGGAACTTTTGGGGTGGTGGACGTGTTTAGTCTCTGATTGTGGTGGTGGTTACAGGGTCCTATACATTTGTCAATACTCAAAGAACGGTACCCTAAAGAGGGTGAATTTCACTGCATGTAAATTATACCTCGGTGAACCTGACCTTAAAGGCAATGCTCGAGCCAGTGTTGTAAACAAGGTGTCATTTATTCTCTTTCCCCCTGACATTCTGCCCAACCAACAGCACACCCTCCTCCACTTCCCTCCAGCTCTTTGGTTTTCAAATGACATCTCTGTCCCTGCCTGTCCCACATTCAATTTGCAACTATTGCCCGGACAAATGAAATCTATAATTGCTCGGGAAGACAGCAAATTATCACCTTAGGAAGGGGCAATCACTGGTCTGGCCTAGCTTCTTCTTGGGGACTCCTGTGCACACAGAAAGACCTGGGAAGCCCCCGTCACTGGCCTGCCACGAGCGGGTATTCGCTGGGTGGGGGAGTGGCCACCCAGCGTCTGAGGGAGCCCTGGGAAGGCAAACAGATGTGGCATTTGCTCCCGATGCCCTCTCGGCTGTGAGGGACACTCCAGAAATAGACCACATAAATCATCCCGGAGGCACGAACACCGGCAGAAGGCAGCACCGGCCTCTGTGTAGATGGGGTATAAATATGTCACTGATGTGATTACCTCACCCTTCAAGACCCAGTATAAGCATCTTTTTTTTTTTTTAAACAAAGATTTTATTTATTTATTTTTAGAGGGGAAGAAGAAAGAGAAAAACATTGACGTGCAAGAGAAACATCCATCAGTTGCCTCTCACACGCCCCGAGCTGGGCGACCTGGTCTGCAACCCAGGCATGTGCCCTGACTGGGAGTCAAACTGGTGACCTTTTGGCTTGTGGGACAACGCCCAACCCACTGAGCCACACCAGTCAGGGCCAGTATAAGCATTTTCTTTGGGGTAAAACCTTTTGCGATTGGCACCAGCCACCCCCTTTCTCTCACCTTCCAGCAGAGGGGTGGGTCCTCCCTTGACTTACATTGTGTCTACAAGAGGACGCTAAGGCCACTGTGGGCTGCTGGGTCGGTGGTACATCACAACTCCAGGGGAGACTTCTCTCATCTCGCGGTGTATGCGAAGCATGCCCTTAGAAGTGGGCAGTGCAGAATGTGAGCAACAGCGTATGACGAGTACTTTCCACAACCCATTACAAATAATACTTGTTTCCCCTGGCAGACCATAAACTCTCACAGGCAAGGACTCTGGGCTCTCTGCGCACACACCTAGGATGAATACTGGCTGGGCACACAATCAACACTCATTGTCTGATGAGCCAAAGTGTAGACGACAGCCACACCTATCTCCAAAGACAGGCGCCCTAATCAGAACAAGCCCTGCTTCCCCTGGTGTGGCACTGCCTTGATGTACCTCCTCTGGGAAACACTAAAGTCTCTCGTCCCAACCCTGCACTCTTCAATGAGTCATGGCTAAATCCGCACCCCAGATGCCAGCCCCCGCTGTTTGTGGCCTCTCTGTACTTGGTCTACAAGGAGCTTGAAAGATGACCAAAACCCAGCAATTAGCCAGCCTGTTAGGAAGCCGGAGGAGGAAGAGATCTGTTTGCCCTCCAGATGCCCTCACGGTACTTAGGAACAGGATGGAACAACAGGAGTACAGAGCGCGGCCTGGGAGAGCAAGACAGGGGCCGCGGTCCTGGAGCCAAGCAGCCCGGGTTCCAGTCCCAACCTGGTACCTGGGAGTGGTGAGCCCTGGGCGGCTTCACTCCTCTGTATGAGGAGGGGCAGCTTCAAGGCAGGCTCGTGTTCGCATCCAGTTCCAGACTGTGCAGTGCACGGGCCACCTGGAACTGTGCCAGCTCCACAGCAGGGTGGACCTCAAGGGTTCTGGCCAGCAAGGAATGGAGACATGATTCCAGAACCACTGAGTATCTGGAAAATACTTTCAAGGGCAGGCAAAAACTCCAACCAGTTCCAGTAAGAACCCAAGGCAGATCTGCTGCCCAGGGACCTGGGCAAGGGGTGCATCAGAGCTGCGGGGAGAGGGCCCATTCTTTCACAGTCCGTGTGCAGAGTGCCTGTAGGGTTGGGCAGGACACACCCTGTGCAGCTGTGTGCAATGGTTGCTGGCAGATCCTGCAGAAGCTTTCAGGTAGACGGGCTATACAACGCTAGAGCTCTGACCAATGAAGGAGGGAGACTGGGGAACAGTAGCTCTGGGACAGCCCTGGCTCACTGTGCTTCAGGAAACGCCCCAAGAACCATGCAAGTCCCCCGCCTAGGGGGTGCCAATGCATCCTGGGGCTCTGAGAACACAGCACACGTACTGGATAGTGCAGGCTATCCCAGGAAGCCCCTGTCTGTTCGGAGCCTCATGGCCAACATGGAGCAGGCCCAGAGGAATTGAGGGGACCCTAGACTGCTTCTCTTTGGCCTAGAGGAAGATTCCAGTCACCACCTTTAAATCTCCGTGGTTATTGTGGACCATGGATGGAAGCAATGTTGCTGCTTATGGCTGTGCGACCATAAGCAAGTTACTTAACCTCTCTGTGCCCCAGCTTTCTCACATGTACAACGGGGATAGTAACAGTATCTATCTACTTCATAGGTTTGTTGTTGAATAAGCGATGAATACCCAGTATGACTGTAGTAAGCACTCAATATGTTGGCTATTTCTTCTTAGTGGGCAGACGGAGCTAAAGGGGAAGCAACGGGGAGGCCAGCTTGTGTTCCGAGTAAAGAAAAGCTCTAAAGCCAGCTGACTTCTGAGACCAATGGGCTGGCTTGGGAGGCAGTGAGCTGTCAGTTCTTTGAGGGGCTGAGCCCCAGGCAGGCAGGCTGCAGGGGTGATGCTGCGTCAATGGGGAGATGGACTAAGCTGAGTCTCTGATCTTGAAACACTTGGTTCCTACACACTGACCTCAAGCAACAAGCTTTGGCTGAAAAGTCTCCATTCAGCTGCCCAGCAGCTCAGCTCTCACCAGGTAGGCAGCCGAGGAATGATTTATGAGGGAAGCGAGACCCAGCCTGTCACTGCCAGTGAATCTGGTGTTGGAGCTAAACCTGCAGCCCTGGGCCCGACCCTGCTCCTTGATCCACCACACCGAGGACTCTGCAGTCTCCACAGACATTTGGCGTGTCCGAGGACAGGGACCATCCAGGTCGGGGCACCAGCGGGGTGGCTTGACAGATCGCCACTGGGTGGAAGCTCCTATCAGCATCCATCCTGCCTTCTCCATTCCCCCACCGGCTGTGCTCACTTCCTCTTGGTTCCCAAAGACCACAAAGACCCCTTATATAGTCAGGGCTCAGCAAAGGCTGCCTGTATGTGGCTCAGGTCTGTGG